TTTTGTCAACCGAACTGCCTCGCTCGACTGGCTTGAGTCTTCGTTTTTATGATTTATGCTTAGAGACTGGCAGACGGGCATTTGCCGTAATCGTTAACAGCCAAAGGGGGATTCGGAATCGGGGATGGGGAGTCGGAAGCGAAGACTACGAACTCCCCCGGGTTGAGCGAGTGAGGAAAGTGGTCAAATTATTTCGGGGGAACAATTTTGGCAGCGATTTGTTCAACAATTCCGAGCCAAGTTTCGACTCAATTAAGTCGAAAATGTTTTGTGTATGACTCGGTAATGAGTCGAAATGGTTTTCCAGTGTGTTCCAAAGCGTGAAAGACACTAATGGGTCTCTCTGGCCCAGAGAACCGTGTATCTGTGTATCTTGGCATCTGCGTATCCACGTATCCGCATCTTGGCAAGACAATGCGATGCCTTTCAAAAAGCACAACTCTCTTTGTTGTCCATGTTTCATGTTTCCATGTTTTTCCCCCAACTCTGGCCAACTCAAAACTCTGACAAGTTCAATCAACCGTTGAGGTTGAGGCGTGAACTGGGGAAATGGCGAAAAACAAAACCGAAAAAAATGAAAGCAATTGTAAATGAAAATGTAAATTGTAAATGTAGATGCGAAATGCAAAGCATTTTTTTTTTTTGAAAATGTGCGACTTTTAGCATGATGAAAAATGCAATTTACGATTTATGATAATTACACACGTCAACCCGCAACAAGACAAACGACCAGGCAATTGACTTTTCCTTTTTCCAACCAAAAGCCAGCAAACAATTTGATTGTTTGCCTTTTGTTGCGGTACGAAAACGCCAAACACATTAAGACCATTTTGTGGCCACCACACGCGACATTTACGTAAAGTCTGAAAAACTGTCTGAAAAGTCTGAAAAGCCCACAATAATGCAACATCGACTTGTGGCATTTTCATTTTCCGCAACTGCCAACGGGAAACGGGCCGGCGATGTACCGCTTTGGACGCTTTTTTCTTTTATTGTTTCAGTTTTCCCCTAGCGGTGGTTGTGCCAATGGATCTTTGCTCTTTTCCAGGCGCTTTTCATTAGCCACAACTGAAGATGGCCAAGGAATGGCAAACATGCTGCTGCTGGTAGCTTCTTCATCTTCGGGCTAAAAACAGCCCACGTTAATTGCCAACCGATACAGATGCAGCTCCAGATCCAGAAACAGATCCTGACCAAACAGCCAGCTGACTCCTCTCAATGGGAATCGATTGCTCTTCTAATAGGTTTGGCCACTATCGACTCATAGCAAAGTTTTCAAGGCGTAAAGGCGGTTTAAAAGTGGGATACATTTTTCTACAGATGATGATGTAATCTATTACTTGACCAAGTTCCATTTTTTAAAGGATAGTTAATATAGACATAAAAAGAATATTAAAATGTTATCGTCATAACTAAAAGAGGTTTGCCTACGTTTACATTTGTATACCGAGGAAGATATATACGATTATTATAAATATTCAAATACTTTGTAAAAATAATCAAATGATTTTCATGGTAATAATTGTTTAGTGAAAAATCCATTATTATTTAATAATAATTTTTATTTTTAATAGGATATTACACTAAAAGCGTAATAAAATGTTATGAAAGTAATTATATATAGAAGGCCGATCAAATAAATAATTTAAATTTATTAATGAGCAATCCCTCTGCCACTTTAATTCCTTCGAAAGATCATTTTTCAGTCGCTCTTTTGATTGCATTTTTTTCCAACTATAACCTTTTATGAAGCCAAAACATGACGGCTGAATATCAATAACAATAACAGGTGTTTTGGCTGGCTGTGCTTTTGATTTAGCATTAATAAATGGTTAATTAGCTTCGATAGGCGGGAACAAAACTGGAGACCACAAATCATAATTGTTTTGAAAGGCGTTCGATCTTTCGATTGAAAATCGAATTGGATTTTCCACTGGTACAATTGATTTGCTGCACATTTCACGAAGTAGCTACCGCAGATGTTGTTTTCCAGTTTTTCTGTGGTTTTTCTTCTATTTTCTTTTTTTTTTTTTGTGTTGCTACTCGTAATAACAATTTGGTATTGTCTGCTTCCCACGCCAAAAACGAAAAGCCAAAGTGTGGGTGAATTAAACACGACGAAGAGAAGAGTTCAAAATAATTTCTTCATTGAAATCGGAGGCAGTGAAAAGTTGGACAACAATTGCGATGGAAGCTGAGCATTTGGGAGCCATAAACAAACAAACGCCGCCTAACGGTTATTTAACTGTTACTTAACATGCAATTAACCCGGCGTTAAAAACTTAAAACAAAAAACTGAATAATGCAAATATAACCAGATTCGGTTCGGGTTCAGCTGCGCTGAGATAATCTCCATAAAATAAACTCGGACTACACGCAGATGTGCTGCAATAACTTTCTAACTAAGGGGTCATTCGTCTTAATTATCACACGACTGGGAAAAGCTCTTGCTTGGAAATTCATTAGCCAGGCCCTTAAAAGATAGTAGGCCATAATAATCGTATAGCCTCAGAAACACTGTCCATTGACCCATTTGCATTTGGCCAAGTCTAAGATCTAAGAAAATTAGTGGGGGAAAAGCCATAAAAACATAAAGAAAGCTGCGGATGGGTTGGACCTAGAGTTGCGTAGAAATTGTTCCCACCTTTATGGTTTGTTTGGCTTTACCATTCCCGAGGTTCGTGTTTATGCGTAGTTCTCCCAAGATCTTCTTTCTGACATTTAATCACCGGAAGCCATCTTCAAGCATCTCCAGAAGCCCGCTTAATTAAGCATAATCTCTTTTGGGTCACCACTTCTTTTGGTCTCCAGCTGGGCGCCCGAATCGGATAAATCCATTTTCGTTGTGCATTTCATTAGATTTGGTCCGAGTCTATTCAAATTGGTTTACCATTTCTCGTATTATATTTTCTTTGTTTTGAATTCGCCAATTAGACACGTCTCTTGTCTGCCGCTTGTCTTCCACAGATGTGGTAAATTGGAGCCTCCATTATGTTAGATTGTGGGGAACGGAAAGCTACTATCTTTGGGTGCTCTGATTCATTTGTTTGTCATCACGGATTGTTATTTTTGGAACAGTGATGATATTCTAATTAATTGATTTTGCTATACGAGGTCGAGAGTATTGATTTTTGTTATCAGTTCGAAGAAGTCAGGAGCAAAAATTGCCTTGATAGCTTTGATAATACATAATTTCATAAGAAATATTGTTATATTTCTATGAAATCCATAACAAGTTGATATTTTGGACCAGACTTTTACAAAATTTTGAAAAGTATGACTGAAAATTTTATTTTTGTAGCTTTATAATTTGTTAACTTAGATAAAAAAAGAAGTATGAGTTATCCGAATACAATATTTGTAGAATCAGTTAAGAAAAAGCATAATAATGGAAATAATTCCTTCAAAGCATTCAAAATTGACAATGTATCGTAAATATCGATTGGGAGACTTCTAATGCTCGTTATCGATGTCAGCATCAATTACAAATGTATCTGCAATCGAAAGCATACATAGATTTCTTAATCGACTTACCGCATAAACGCTTAATTAATTACTTCGCGCCATAAAACGTGTAGAAACACTTTATTAATTCGCACTCACCTGCTTGATGAAATTAAACGGCGGCATTTTGTGGTCCAATTTGCGGCTGCTGCAATGCAAATATGTATTTGTTTTATTTATTTGTGTGTGCGCCTAGTGTGTAAATATCAAGGCGTGCAGTTGCAACTCCTAAATTTAACAATTTAATTAACTTTTTCGCACTTTGTGGACTATTTGTTGTGTTTATTGCTGTCACCTTTTTGGCATTCGCTTTATTTGGCCGCCTTTTTTTGCAATTTCCTTTCGCGCGCCTCTTCCCGCAATTTACCGTTAGTGTGAAGAAAAGAGAGCGACGACGACACCAAAGTGATAACGCGTTTTTGGCACTGTTTTTTGCGCACTTTCAAAACAAATTAACCCGAATTAACGCAAAGCGGAAGTAGAAGAAAAGGATATATTCGTGCGATCCGGTCGCTGATCTGCAGCTTTAACGTTAAACTTAACCCGTGAAAAGTCGGCTTACGACTGAACGTGAAAAACTTCAATTGAAGCGGGGCGATCGCACGTACAAATGTACATACTTATGTATACCACATACACATAAGTATGTTTGTAAGTTTCTCTGCCGACGGCGACGTCGACGTCAGTGAATGTGACCCTTTCAAGTTCCACTTTGACCATGGCCAACTTTTTTCGGGGTATATTCGACCACTGAACAGCCAAAACAATTATGTTTAGTTAGTTAGCAACTACAAGGTGTTTGTACGCTAACCAATTAAGCAAAAAGTTGAGTAATTGCAATGTATTAGCCGGGAATTCGAGATGTGGAAAGTGCGACGGATGGTGCAAGGTATGTACATACATATTTTTACTTGTACATACAAATGAGCAATGACAGTTGACGTGCAACATGCATTTCAAAAATAAGTAAAATTGTCTATGTTTATTTGTAATAGCCTTTTAAAAATTTAAGCAGAATTACAGATTTATTTAATGTTGCTTAAAATATACACATATTTATGTAATAAGTATGACATATGTAAGTACATATTATGTACTTACATATGTATGTATGGTAATATTAGAACTTTTGTGTTTGAGCAGATCCTATAATTAATTTTCTTATAATACTTATAAATAATACCTATAAATAAAGTTAAACTTTTACTTAAAAATGTGTACCTAAAAAAAAAGAATATTTACGAAAACATACGTATTTATTCTTTCTCACAAACGTAATAAAAAAATTAATGAGTATCGTAACTTCGAACCCAATTTTTCCATTCCTAGTGGACAAGTTTCGCGCTCGGCTGCTCCCTAGTGTCAAAATGCCGGCCACTGCGCTGCAGACCTCACCATCATTGTCATAGCCATAGTATTTGGCTATTCCGAACCCATCGCCCCACCATCATAGTTGTACCCATAAACACGGAGGGTTCCCAGAACTCTGCTTTGGCTTTTGTTGTTCTCGTTTTTTATTATCATTCGGGCAGAGGTGTCGTTAGCAATGCGGAGATGGATAGCCCCCTGTGACGTCACTCAGTGGTTGGGGTCTCTTCGGTCTCCTGACTACGATCCTTCTCCAGGAGCAGGAGGCACTCCCTCACCCTGACCCTGGCATGGGCTATGTCCCGCTGGAGTCGCTCCTTGGGCGCCCGCAAGCCCATCATCGTTGGCGGCAAATTGAACCGCATCTCGGCTAGGATATTCAGCAGATCAGAGTACTTGTCTTCTATATTGGCATTGGCATCTAGATCTGAAAAGTGTTAGAAGCAGGTAAATGTAGATCTCAAAAAATGGTATAGGGGTTATTTAAGAGATTTCAGAAAGGGGTTATTCAAAAGAAGGTTTTTTTAATAAAAAACAAATTAAGAAAATACTTCCTTTGAAAAATATATTCTAGGGACCATTTTCAATAACTAGATAATAAATAATTTTGGTATATAATTTTTGAAGTAAGTTATACTTTTCTAGTATAGGAAGGATTTACTTTAATACAAAATCAAATTTAAAAAATATCTCATTTGAAAAATATATTTGAGGGACCCCTTTTTAACAACTAGATAATAAATAGTTTAAGAATATAATTTTTTTTAAGTAAGTTATCCTTTTCTAGTTTAATGCCTTCTCTATTTTCCCTAATTTTCTTACTTATAGATGTTGGCATCATCCCATATAGACCACAATCGAGACCAGCTCCTCCTCCATTCGCCACGGACATCAGCTGAAGCTGGGTCTGCATGTACTTGGTATACTCCAGTTTGGCCATCACCTCCTTATATTCGGTGGCATACGCGAATGCAGCGGCGTTTTGCTGCTGCCTGTTGCGCTGGATCATCGCTAGATTCGAGGTGGAGCTGCTGCCTGGAGTTGCACCCCCAGTAACCCGGGTGATTTCCACTCGCGGCTCACGCTGCTTGGCCGTCATCTGCAGGTCGCTGGACACCGGTTGCTCCTCGTCCGTCTTGGAGCGAGCGGGAACGGCCGTCACGGTTATGTCGCTGTACTTTGAACGGAAGGATTCAATGTCCATACTGGGCTATTAAAACTCAAACAATGACGAATCGGTTTTTGTTTTTTGTATACCATTTGACATTAATTGATTTGACAGGCCTACTTGGACTTTTCTTATTGACAGCTTAGTGCTGCAACTTCTTTAGGGTTGGAAAAGTATTTCTCTAAATTCAGCTCATTTCTCACTAAATGTTTGAGTCAACTATGGAATTAGTTATTAAAATAATAATTAGAATTTTGAGCTTAATAGAATTGAATGAATTTGAATTTTGAGTTTAATAGAATTGAATGAATGAATGGCATGAATTCCGAAATAATTCAAACGACAATTTTTTTGAAGAATTTTATTTACTAAGCAGTTAACATTGATTTGTTAAATTTTTTTCACTTTTTGTTCTCAAAAGAAATCTAGCACATTCATTCATTCATTCAATTCGAAATGAATTAGAAAATACCAAAATCATTCAATATTTTTCACATAGAATTGAATTAAACAAATCAGAAATTTCATGGCAGACTATGATAAAACAAAAATTGAATGATTCACGCAGGGCTCTATTAGTTATGTACTATTGAACCTTAAATAGTCGGAGCTCATGAAATATGATCCACTCCAAAGCGATCAAAATTTGTTTCCTTAACCAATGGAAACTCATTTTACTCCAATTTCCATAAGTTGAACCCCCAGTAAACCTGTGGCAGTGCAGAAAGAGGAGCACTGAGTACCTTCACCTGGCGTTTTGGTGCCTGTTTTGCCTTTGCCCCCGCACAAGAACCTTTCTTTCTTTTGGGCTATCGCATGACGAGCGGGTAATTACCGGCTGCAGAACAAAACACGTTCATAAACAGTTCATTCTGCTGGCGTTGTCCATTCGCCCGATTTGCCCCTTCGAGTCTCAACGTTTCGGCCGCCGGAAGCCACTCAAGCGTGCTTCCCGTTCTGCGCAGGCGCACGCAGCGAATAGCAGTCGCATTCCCCTCGGCGGTTACCCCAATTTTTTGCCATGACTCATGGAGTATTTAAATAACACAGGCAGATCCGATCGTTCTGGCTGTTTTACTTGTTTCACATGCAAATTTTGAACCGATCTATGTCCAGAATTTCGCGTCTAACAATCTTCGGCTGGTGCGTATAACAATTTAGTGAGCTAGAGTCTGCTTAGGGGCTAGTTAATTGCTGCTCTGGTGCTGGGAGCGAATGATCGCCTCGAGCGTGCGTTCCGTCTGCTCGCCGCACTCGAAGCGATGGTAGTCGACGACCTCGCAGTTGTGATCCTGCAAAGCCTCGCCCACAGTCTTATCCGCATCCAGGAGGTACTCCTGGTGGATCAGGCACGTCTCGTCGTCCTTGTTCTCGGCCGGCTTGTCCTTGTCGTACTCCCCGATCTTGGAAGGCTTCATTCCCACGATCTGCTGGCAGATGCTCTTGTGGAATTCAAAGTCCAGCAGCTTGTGAGTCGATCTGTAGGCCACGATCGCTCCGTACTTGCCCACCTGGGTGATGCCCTCGGTGCTGCCTACGTTGGTGGGTGCCGGGTGGGCGTAGCCGACTAGTTTCAGATCGTTGTTGACCTTGAAGCACAGTGCCCGTCGGATGCTGGCATTCTCGCCGATGGCTCCGATCAACAGGGCCAGGTGGTCGCCCAGAGTGCGACCCTCCTCGGTGCGCAGGTTCTTAAGGGCGTCCGCATCGAAGCCGAGCTGGAAAGGTAGATATTTTAATACAAGGCCGATTTATAAAGCCGAAGAGTTTTTAGGTATGTTCAAACTAGAGCCCTTCGTGAATCATTAAATTTTTGTATTATGAAAATTCTGATTAAATTCTGTGTTAAATAAATTAAATGTTTTTCTAATTCATTTTAAATTGAATGAAAAAATGAATAATTTTTATGCATTTTTTTTAATTTTCCAGATTTTTTTTGTGCTTTCTTTTGAGAACAAAAAGTGGAAAATTTATAACAAATCAATGTTAACTGCTTAGATAATAAAATTCATGCAGATTTAATCACAAAATGATGGCCCTTTCTTCTTCAATAAAAATTGTCGTTTGGATTATTTCGGAATTTATGCCATTCATTCATTCAATTCTATTAAACTCAAAATTCAAATTCATTCAATTCTATTAAACTCAAAATTTTAATTAATTCATTCATATAAAACAAAAAATTCAAAATAATTCATTGAATCCATTCATGCAGGGCTCTAGTTCAAATACTTTAAAATCAAATTAATCAACTAGAATTTACAAGCTCTAAAAAAACAGAATTCTTAAACATTTGTTTGGTTGATAATTTGTATTTACTATTACTTTTATTTTTGTTACTAAGCGGGATACTAAGCTATGTCTATTAAATTTGTTCATCCTTCTCACCTTCCACAGATCCCCATCGAAGTCCGTCAAATCCGTGTAGTGCAGACACATGCAGGCAACATGGTCCACGAACCGCTTGAAGGTGTCGTTCCTGGCCACGAAATCCGTCTCGCAGTTGAGTTCGACCATGGCACCGCGATTGCCGCGGATGAGGACTCCAATCAGACCCTGGGCGGTGGCTCGATCTGCGAGTTTGGTGGCCTTTGACCAGCCGAGCGTCTGGGCCTGTTCATGCAGCCACTTTTCAGCCTTTAAAATGTGGAATTTATAATAAGATAAGATACATAGTCTAAGGAAATAATTTTGGTTGTAAACGATGCAGCGGCTGCATGAGAGTACTTAAACCTAATTAGTATAAATATTATAATAATTATAATGCTTTGTGGCTGCGAGTGAAGTATTTATGACTGTGAGGCTCTAATTTCAATTATTGGCTTCAGTAACTAAAGGCAAATAGTTATGTAAAATGGTAAATATACATTTTAACAGCTGCGAACAGCGGATTCAAATTATAGAACTTTAGCAATATCATGAAAAATAAGTAATATGGGCACTTCCAAAATGTCGCTCGGGACATTTGCACACCTTTAAAGTTGAAAAAAAATTGTAAAACAATGGATTTTAATTTTAATTATGGGCTTTTCTTTTCACTCTTCCCAAGCTCTATTTTTGGGAAAAATCTTAATTTTGTACCACTTTTAGTTTTTAAGATATCGGTAAAAAACTGCCGTATTCGCTCGGGACAAAAATAGAAGTGGATTTCGGGGAAGTTCATACAACACCAGAAATTAGCAAATTCTGATGGAATATTTGAATGCGATTTTTTTTAGAATGTTGTTCAAACATGTCGCTGTGAAATGCTTTTGGTTTTACTCAAAAATTCTTTGCCGTTTTTTTTTTATGCAGTTTCAACCACATTCGCTCGGGACATGTCGCTCGGGACATTTTTTCCGACTGTTTTGTAAAGCGGATTTCTTTACCTCTATCTCTCAATTGCTGGATGTTTTGCTTTTAACTTAATAGTTTAGCATGTGAATGAAGCATTCAGTACAGAAAAATGTCACATATTAGCATTCCTATAGGATAAATTTACAACAGAAGACAGGTCCAAAAAATAACAAAAAAATAGCCAAAAACTGATTTTTGCGTATATTGGTGGGGTTTGTCATAAAAATAATCAAACTATGCTCCAAATTTGTAGTTAAGCTCAGTATCCAACTAATTAGAAACTAATATCGGGGCAAAATCATGTGGAAATATGTTTTATTCAAGTTTCAAGGTTTTTGGCTTGGTGGACTTTTTTTTGGAAGTGCCCATATGCATTAAAGTCATAATCCTAAATAGCAAATATATTGTGAAGGATTCTGGCTTCAGGAATGCTCCAGATACAAAGAAGCTGCTAGATCGTTTACAATAAACTGAAAGAATAACCCAATAACCCACCAATCCGACATCGTTGTTGTGCTTTTCCAGAGCTTTCTTGCAGTTGGCGAAGGTGTAGCCGGTCTTTTTCCTCAGGGCCGCCAGAGCGCTCTTCTCCAGACCTCCGGAGCTACCAGTTCCGGCGTAAAGTTGCCGCGTGGAGTGGAAAGCGCGGGTGAAAATTCTTTGCAGCAACATTTTGTGCCAACCGAAGTTCAAACTAAACAGATGATTTTTGGGGGGTGATGTGTGTAGACTTGTTGCTCTTTGCCTGCTGCCACGGGCAACTCTCTGGCTTGTTTGTTTTTCCTTGTTTTCGACCTGTCGTTATGTAGTTGCCAGGAAAATCAATTCATTCTAAACAACGGAAAACTCTGTGTGTGATTTGCATTTGTTTTCAGCTCCCTCGTATGTTCGGATCGAGTCAGTTTAATTAATCGCGTTGCGGCGCGAATTAATCCAAACCGTGTGTGTTGCCTCGATAGGTGAACGAGTGGTGAGTCGGCAGGCCAATTTGCCGGTTTTGTGTGTGTCCGGTGTGTGTAATTTATTTGGACACTATGAAAATTTTGACAATTTTCCGGGTTGCACAATTCGAGCGTTAGGGATGGCAAAAAAGCCGGCCAGGCGCGTGTGCCGAACAGCTGTTCGCTTGCTATCGATAGTTGCGCAACTATCGTTTGCCCACAACGTGTAGTGGAGACCACAACCGCTATACCGTTTATAACCGCTTCGGTTCAAAACTTGAATTTTCAAAAAGTTGAAAAATAAAATTAATTCAGTGGTTTATGAACTTAAATTGTATAACATTAAACTTTGAGAGAAAAAATTAATATATTGTCAAAAATAAAATATAGGTCATATACCTTTTTTTTATTATTGATAATTTCGTTCGTTTATAATACATTTTATTTGTATTTCAGGCTACACCATGCAGGGCAGACAGAATCCGAATCGGGAGATCAGCATCCCCAGCTTCACGTCCATATGCGGTGCCCGCCGCCTGTGCGACAAGTCGAAGATGCTGTACACCCGACCCAAGCCCGATGTCCTGCAAAGTATCCTGCAGTCCAAGGCCAATCCGGAGTACAAGTCGCGTCGCCTGTGGTACGAACTGAACATGCCGGAGTGCGCCAGCTCGCTGCTGGACGGAAAGATGCAGTCCGACCTGCCCGACAACATCCTCTGCTACAAAAAACAGCAAAAGAAACGCCAGAGGAAGCGCGAAAGCACGGTGGCCAAGGCCAACTACATGACCATGCGACTGGAGCGCGAGCATTTCCGGCGCAAGCTGGTCGAGCTCATACTGCACATGGACGACGACCAGGACCCGGAGCTGGCCGCCCAGTGTGCCGTGCCCTTTCCCGACCAGGAGGAGCGCGAGATTCTGCGTTATTACTACTACATCAAGCACGGAATCGACACGATTCACGTGTCTCCGTTGAGCAAGAAGATTCTCAAGAGGTGGGTAAACCATACCTAACTTTAAATAAGATTTGTATTGGATTTTAAAAACCAAAAATAATATCCCAATTAAATCTAAACTGCTTATAATTACAGAATAACCGATCTTGTGCCTCCGTTGCTCTACAAATGGCAGACTGCCCTGAATGAGAACATAGCCGAGGTCCGGGCGGATTATGTTTTCGCCATGAAAAAGGCCGTTGTAGACTTTGTCCTGCGTCACACGGTTCTCGATCGACTGACTAAAGAAGGAGTGGGTGGAAAATTCGATACCGCCGAGCGGAAAGAGGTGCAATCCATGACGAACTTCTGGCGATATCGGTGAGTTGGATTGGCCATCAATAATTTAATATATAAATACTATTTTTATGCTCCAAAATGGCCAAACCAAAAATGGAAACTTTCCTTAAGCCAATATAATTCAAATTGAAAATGACTCCCAGTGAAATAAAAGTAAATAAAGAACAAGTGAAAATTTCCAGCCAAATGGATTTTAAGTCTATAAAACAAACAAATGAATATGTAGATGTCACACCGAAAAGGGTTCGACTTTTATTTAAAAATAATTTTCGCATTCATTTTTATCATTTTATTTTGCGTATCAAATCGAAACTTTCTTAAGCCAAAATGATCCAAATTGAGAATGACTTTGCCAGAAAAATATATACGATTTTTATTTAAACAGTAAATAAAAAATGAAATTTTTAAGCCAAATAGATTTTAAGACTATAAAAAAAAAATCAAACCGAAAAGGGTTCGATTTTTATTTAAAAACAATTTCCGCATGGATTTAGCCTTTTTTGATTTTATTTGGTGTATCAAATCGAAACTTTCCTTAAGCCAAATGGATTTTAAGAGTATAGAACCAGATTTCTCTAATTGATAATGACTGGCGCTGAAATGTTTGCGCTCTTCATGTACAAAAAGTGGGAAAAACAATGCATACGAAGGCCAAATTAAAGTTAGAGCTTCCCCGCATGTGGAAAATTCAAATTTTTTAATTAAAATAAATTACACCCGCACCAAGTGCCAAGTAAATTGTGCGCATTGTAAAGAGGAGGCAGGAAAAAAGTGGGAAAAAGAAAAAGTTGCCATAATTGAATGCGAGTGTTGTATGTAACTTCCCCTGTAACTGCCTGCCTCGCATTTGGCAAAAAAGGCGTGCAATTGACATGCAATTACACCCAACCAAACACTCGAGCCCAGAATCACGCCCCCACATATGTACTTTTATATTCACGGATGCCTTGGCTTTATTGTGGATTAAAACCCCAATCCGATTTTTACGAAATGAATTGCCCTTTGAGTCGGCAGCGCGCGAAATCTTATGAAAATAACTGACAAAGTTGCCTGGCACACAGGGGAAAAGTGGGGGAAAAGCGTTAAGAAAATAAGGAAAATAACGAAAGTCGTGCGACATTATTAAAAGCTTCTTGCAATCGGGGGAGAACGCGAGAAATCGCTTTGCGGCGTGCCAAAAACTTTTTAACCGCACTTTTTCAACTACAATGCCACGGAAATGGAAAAGTGGAAAAGGCTGTGTGGATGCGAAAATGGAAGCTCCAGAAAGTTAAGTCCTCCTGTGTATTGGTTTGACATTTGATGAGCAACAGCATTTTTAGCAGCTGGAGGGGAACGAGGGATAATGCCGCGGCCCAGAGATTCCGCCCGACATAAATTGCAAAGAGGATATGCTTAAAAATGAATTGAACTTGTTTGTGACACCGGGGGAAAGGGATTTTGAAGCACATCATCGCATTGTGCGGTTATCAGTGCTGACTTTGTCTATTGTGAGAATATCAAAAACTTTGGTTATCCTTTTGTCTTCTCGAAAGTTAAACAATGGCTCTATTCACCAGCATCAGTAATGATTGATGCACTCTTAAATTAAGCTAAGTAAAATTGGTGATTATCAGAAAATGAGAATGGAAAAACTATTGAGTGTCTTAGTATTATAAAGTATAGAGTAATTGAGTATATTGAAATATCTTATAAGAAACTTTAAAAGTATGTAACAATATACTAAACTACTTTCTTGATTTTACTTTTTACTGTATGACACATTTTTAACTTTTGAAGAAAGCGAAGTGAAGGATGCTTAAAAAAAAATACCTGATAATGTTGTATTATTATTATTTGCTTTTTGAATTTATTTACCATACATTTAAGACTTTTCAAAAAATGCTTTCATAAAGAACAAAAAGGTACATATACTTTTAGAAAACGTCTTCGCTCTTCTCGAGCGTCTTTAATGCGAGCTCAACCCAAGCTCTTATGTGGTTTCTGTTTAGTTTTTTTTTTGGGTGCAAAGTGGGTCGAAGGCCCATCGATATCCACGTCCGCGTGAGCTTTGCTAATTTATTGCCTTCGAGCATTTGGCATCATTAAGGAGGGCCTTAGGTGCTTTTTGTGGTTCGGTCGCTGGGTGGTTGCCCGCTGGGTGCTCCTGTGGTTGGGCGGTTGCGGTTCCCTGCACTGTTTAATGGGCTGTGACGGAATAGCTGGAGTGAAAAGTTTTCCCTTAGTCTCGAGATAATTTGCATAAAAAGACGGTACAAACTGTGGCCATATTCTCATCCCAACCAATCCAATTTATTCGACAGCTACGACGAGAATCGCAATGTCCTGATGAAAACGCTCTTCTGCATACATCGAAGTGTGGCCAGCATCTTGGAGCTCTGGAGCATGAAATATAAGGATAAGTCCTTAATCGACATCAAGGAGTTGGGAAAAATCGAGACCCCATTTTCATTATTTTCGTTTGTGGTAAGATCTAATGAGGATTATTACAGAAACTATATCGTTATAAATTACTTGGGAACATGGTAAATATTTTTTATCGTTGTAGTAAGAGCTGCAAAAGAAAGAGTTTTAAAGATTTGGCAGGCTTGTTTGATGTAGATATATATGGGCATTTCCAAAATAAAATATTCAGTACGACATCATTGCGTCATTCTAATAAAAATCGCTTTAAAATATTCCACCAAATTTCTGGGAAATTGGGAAAAAATGTAGCGTGAAAAGAGTGAAAGTAAAGCCCAAGACTAAAATATTTTTTATTTCCACTTCTTTTTTTTTTCAACTTTAAAAGTGTGTCAACTTTTTGAGCGACTTCCTGGTACTGCCCTGTACATCTTTCACTCTTAATTTACTTTAAGAAATCATTGAAGAGATAAAATCAATCATCTGTTAAGTTAAAAATTATTTATATTATTAAAATCTCTTTTAAATATTTAAACCCTTCTAATAATGACTTGTCCTTGGCAGTATTTGTGTGGTTCCCACATCGACAATGGAAAGACATTGCTGGAAGAGAGCTGGTACGGCGAAATTCACTCCTCCCTGCTGAAGGCCAGCAAACGAGGACAATTACCAGACATCCGTCGTTTTACGCTGGTCAAGCGATTCTTTAACTGCGTTGCCGCTCTGATGACCCAACAACTGGAGGACATTTGCATAAGGAGTCTGAAGGAATATGCGGACTTTATTTGCGACTATGGGGTTAGTAATTGATGAATGTAAAGTTATAATATTAAAATATTACATTTCTCGCAGCATTCTAATCCAGGCTTCGAAATCTCCGTAATGCTGGCCGACGAGGACACGATCCAGTTCAATCCCAGCTTTTCGAAAGTACAAAGCGAATTGCTTCGCGTCATAGACTCGATCCTATTGAGCATCCAGATGCTGCCGCGGATTGAGAGCAAGCTCTACACCGATCTGATCGTGTCCAAGAAGATCTTCCTCACACCGACGGTTCCCGATAGCATCGTTCAGGAGACGAAGAACCGGATTTGTGCCATGTTGGAGGATCAGCGCATCGGACCAGAATTGCGACTGCAGGACTTTGATCCGTTCATTGATCTAATAAATGGAAGCGATGCGGAAAGGGTGGGTAACTTCATGGAGGGCGATGCCACCTTCGAACAGTATACGGAAATGGTTTACGAGTACAAGGAGAAGGAGGATCGCATCGCCAAAGAAGTGTGGGCCGTGATCCGAATGGGTTTCTACGAGTTCCACAGGGATAAGTTCATCACTCACCTGGAAAGCTTGTGCCGGCAGCTTCAGTTGGATTTGCTGGCTAGGATGGTGACCGATCAGCAGGCAAGGATCTCTCGGTTGGGCAAGGAATACGATGCTATTGCCAAGAAGGCTCTAACTGTGCCCAAGGACACGGCCGAATTGATGCAACTAAAGGCCTATGTGGTCCATGCAGAGGAGAATTTAGTGCCAGAAATGGAGGCAAGACTTAAGGTCAACATGAGTGAAATCCTTTGGCTGATGGACCACACTCTGTACTCCCCGCTGGAGATCAAGAACAACAGCAACTCCTTCCAGTGGTATCTAAAGCTTCCGTCGATCTTTGAGCAACATCGTGCAATTATTGCCGAGAAGGTCATCGAGTATCAGGAGCTGCTCAAGAAACGCATCGAGCTATTCCGCCGGGAACTGCAAAATTATTACGAGCAGGTGCAAACCTACGACACCTGGGGCGACATTAAGCAACTGTCCAGGTACAAGAAGCGAGCTGGGGTGCTGGATCAGAGATTAGTCCAGGCCATGGAGACAATTGATCAAATTAACGAAGAGGAAACCTCTTACGGCTGGGATCTTTCCCAATATCCCATGAGAAAGAAAGCACACGACCAACTTAAACCGTACAAAACCCTATTTGATGCTGGCCAGGATTTCATGGACAAATGGGACCTGTGGATGCACTCTCAAGTTGGCTCCTTTGACCCCGACGAGATTGATGGCGATGTGTCCAACTTGTATCGCATTATCCAAAAACTAGACAAGCAGATGGGCGAGCATCCCATCACGATGCAGCTCATTCAGGATGTCAAGGCCCAAATCGAGGCCTTCCGCGAGCACATGCCTATTATAAATACATTGGGTAATCCAGGAATGAAGGCCCGCCATTGGGAACTGGTATCCGAGATTATTGGCTTCCCCATCAAGGTGTCGCCCGAGCTGACGCTGGAGAAGATCATCGAGTACCAGCTGGACGAGTATGTGCCCAAGTTCGAGGCCATTTCAGAGAGCGCCACCAAGGAGAACAATTTGGAGAGGGCGATGGCCAAGATGGTCAACGAGTGGGAAGGTGTCGAGTTCGCCATATCGCCCTACAGGTATGTACTCCCATTCTTGTTCGAGGGATGTCTCCTGTAATTGAAATGCCTCCCGCAGGGATTCCGGCACATACAAACTGGCTGCTGTGGACGACATCCAAATATTGCTGGACGATCAAATCATCAAAACGCAGACGATGAAGAGCTCACCCTACATTAAACCATTCGAGGCGGACATTCTGTAAGTGAATCGATTTGGGCTGTTATTTGAAACAAAAACGATGTCCTTTGATGTTTTAAGCACATTTTGGCTTTAAATAGTTTTTGTTTTCGGGGAATTTTACTTCCAATTATCTTTTAATCAGTTTCTAAGCATGTAGAGCGCTAAGCATTCCCATTATCCCGTCCAGTTGTTCAGCTTTTTGTTGGCCCGTCAATGTCAGCGGCAGACAAGTCACACATTGCTAACCTTTGTTGTCCTTTTGCAGTAAGTGGGAGGCCAAGCTCATGCTGCTTCAGGAGATCCTGGACGAGTGGCTGCGCGTGCAGGCCACCTGGATGTACCTGGAACCCATCTTCAGCAGCCCGGACATTCAGCAGCAGATGCCCGAGGAGGGGCGACGGTTCAGTGCCGTGGATAAGGTGAGTTTGCCACCTAGTCGGTGTCTTTAAGATTAGTTCTTGTTGGTTATGTGCCCGAATAAAAAACAAATATTTTTAAATTCCTACTTCATCGGTATCTTTAAGATTGTTTCTGTGTATGTTGCTATACCCTTGCAGAGGGCATTAAGATTTCAGTCAGAAGTTTGCAACGCTGTGAAGGAGACGTTTCCTACCCTACAAAGTATATATATTATTGATCAGCATCACTAGTCGAGTCGATCTAGCCATGTCCGTCTGTCCGTTTTGAAGCCATCGGGTTGAAACTTTCCCAAAAGTCTTTTTTCTAGTGCAGGTATACAAGTCGGAACCAGCCGGATCGGACAATTATATCCTATAGTATAGCTCCCATAGGAATAATCGGAAAAATAATGGAAACAAATTCTAGTTGCGGTGTTTTTTAAAATATTAACTTCTATTTTTGAAAATAATGTTTTATATATAGTTTTGAATTTTGGATTAAGTTTAAATAAAAAAAATTGAACGACTATATCATATAGCTGCCTTAGGAACGATCGGAAAATTAATGGGAAAATAATAGGAAATAAATTGTAGCTTCTTTGGTTTTTATTGTATTCTCTTCTAGGATATGATTTTGTTTGTATATTTCTGAATTTCGAATTAAATTTAACAGGAATCGGACTAATTTATTATAAAGCTGCTATAGGAAGGACAGAAAAAATAATGCCAAAATCATAGGAAATTTAAAATTTTAGCTATTTTTCAATTAATAGGAATGATCTGCTGACCGAAGCTAGCTTCCTTTCTTGTTGATGATTAAGATTAGTTATTGTTGAAACTCTCCTTTGTTGCAGATATGGAAGGAACTGATGAAACAGGTTGCCCAAGATCCCAAGGTCATGGTGGTGGTGCAAATTGACAAGATGAACGACAAGCTGAAGAAGGCCTACAGCCTGCTGGAGGTCATCCAGAAGGGTCTGAACGCCTACTTGGAGAAGAAGCGCCTCTACTTCCCGCGATTCTTCTTCCTGTCCAACGACGAACTTCTGGAGATTCTGTCAGAGACGAAAGATCCAACTCGGGTGCAGATTCACTTGAAGAAGTGTTTTGAGGGCATCGCCACACTGAACTTCACCGAGGAGTTGGACGTGACTGCAATGCGATCCTCAGAGCGCGAGGAGGTGACCCTGGTGGATGTGATCTCGACGAGCAAGGCGCGCGGCCAGGTGGAGAAGTGGCTGTTGGAGCTGGAGATAGACATGAAGAAGAGCGTGCATCACAAGGTGTCGGAAGCCTTCTACAGCTACCTCAAGATGTTGCGTCACGTTTGGGTGCTGACCTGGCCGGGCCAGTGCGTCCAGTCCATTTCACTCACCTACTGGACTCTGGAGATCACCGAGTGCTTTGAGAGCGAGGAGCCCAAGGAGAATCTGGCCAAGTATTTGCAAAAATGCGTCCTGCAGATCAACAAGATTGTGGACTTGGTGCGTGGCGACTTGAACACACAGAATCGCATCACCTTGGGCGCCCTGGTGGTCTTGGATGTCCATGCCCGTGATGTCCTGGCGGAAATTGTGGCGAATCAAGTGGAAGACTTGCAGGATTTCCAGTGGCTTTGCCAGTTGCGTTACTATTGGGAGGATAATAATCTCGATACAAGGATGATAAACTGCTCTTTGCCGTATGGATATGAGTATTTGGGAAACACCACTCGACTGGTGGTTACGCCTCTCACGGATCGGTGCTATCGAACCCTGTTTGCTGCCTTAAATCTGCATTTGGGTGGTGCTCCAGAGGGTCCTGCCGGCACTGGCAAGACGGAGACCACAAAGGATCTGGCCAAGGCCGTGGCCAAGCAGTGTGTGGTGTTTAATTGCTCCGATGGACTGGACTACCTGGCTCTGGGCAAGTTCTTCAAGGGATTGGCCTCGTGTGGCGCCTGGTCCTGCTTCGACGAGTTCAACCGCATCGACCTGGAGGTGCTATCGGTGGTGGCGCAGCAGATCCTGACCATCCAGCGGGGCATCAACTCGGGCAGCCCTACTCTGGTGTTCGAGGGCACCAATTTGACCCTGGATCCCACTTGTGCTGTGTTCATCACCATGAATCCCGGCTACGCAGGACGCTCCGAGTTGCCTGATAACCTCAAGGTGGGGTTATGAAGTTTTCCAAAGTTTTGTTTTATATATTTCCCTTTCTTATAGGCTCTCTTCCGTTCGGTGGCTATGATGGTGCCGGACTATGCACTGATCTCGGAGATAGAGTTGTACTCTTATGGTTTCTTGACCGCCAAACCGCTTTCGGTCAAGATTGTGGCTACCTACCGTCTGTGCTCGGAGCAGTTGAGCACGCAGTGTCACTACGATTACGGAATGAGGGCTGTGAAGTCGGTGCTCAAGGCAGCGGGTGCCTTGAAGCTTCGCTATCGGGATGAAAACGAGGATATCCTGGTGTTGCGGTCTATCAAGGATGTGAACTTGCCCAAGTTCCTCAACCAGGACATTCCTTTATTCCAGGGCATAACCTCCGATCTGTTCCCTGGAACTGTTTTGCCGGAAGCCGACTACGTACTGTTCAATAAGTGCACACAGATGGCCTGTGAAAGGCAGAATAAGCAGTGCACTCCTTTTGTCCTGGAAAAGGTGCAGCAGGTGGGTGAAATATAATTTTGGATACTTTTTTACAGACTTAGATATTCTATCTATTTATGTGTATAATTTAAAAAACAACCAAAATCCTTGTATCCTTCAGCTGTATGAAATGATTGTGGTGCGGCATGGCCTTATGTTGGTGGGTTATCCATTTGGAGGCAAGTCAACCACCTACCGCGTCCTAGCCGAGGCATTGGAGTGCATGGAAAAGACGGTTGGTTGTTATTAACCATTTATTTTTTTTAAATTTAAATTAACTCCTCTTAAATCCCAAGGATGGTTCGGAAAACAAAGCTATTTACACGGTTATCAACCCAAAGGCCATTACAATGGGTCAGCTGTACGGTCAATTTGATGCAGTGTCCCACGAGTGGAGTGATGGAATTTTGGCGGTAAACTATCGTATATTTGCCGTGTCTGATTCCCCAGATCGCAAGTGGCTCATTTTTGATGGACCAGTCGATGCCATTTGGATCGAGAACATGAATACCGTGCTAGATGACAACAAGAAATTGTGTCTGATGTCCGGTGAGATTATCCAGCTTTCGAATACCACCAATTTGGTCTTTGAGCCCATGGACTTGGAGGTGGCCTCTCCAGCGACGGTCTCTCGATGTGGAATGATATATTTGGAGCCCAGTTCCTTGGGTTGGGAACCCTTGGTGGCCTCATGGAAGAACACTCTTCCTCCGGCTTTCCACACGGTTAGCAAGCAACTAATATCGATGCTAATCTCTCGATTTTGTCCCATCCTCCTGTACATTCTACGCAAGAGTCTGAAGGAGATTGCACCCACCTCGGATGCCAATCTGATGGTCAGCTTGATGAACTTCTTCGAATGTTTTATAGATGACTTCCGGGATGAGAAGTATGTGGCAAATGTTTCAGACTTGGATTTTAGGGCCCAAACCGAGGGAATATTCCTGTTCTCTTGTATTTGGTCACTTGGCGGCGCTTTAGATGCCGACAGCAGGGAGAAATTTAATGTAGTTTTTAGGGCTCTGATGGAGAAGACCTTCCCACAAAATCTCTATGACACTTATGGAGTTCCGGAGGATCTCTACGTGGAAACCTTGGCCAAGCCATTCATATTCCCCATTCCTAAACAGGGATCAGTGTTTGATTATAGGTATATAAAGGAAGGCAAGGGCAAGTGGAAACCGTGGCAGGATGATGTAAACTCCGCTCCACCGATCCCTCGAGATATACCCGTCAATCAGATAATCATTCAAACCAACGAAAGTGTTCGCATTGGAGCTGTTTTGGATCTGCTAAATCGTCATGGCAAACCTATTATGTTGGTGGGACCGACGGGAACAGGCAAGAGTGTCTATGTGATCGATTATATGCTCAAGAGAATGGATCTAGCCGTTTATAAGCCCCTGCTGATCAGCTTTTCCGCACAGACATCCGCCAACCAAACTCAGGACATCATTATGTCCAAGTTGGACAAGCGTCGGAAAGGTGTCTTTGGTCCACCACTCAACAGTCGCTTTGTTATCTTTGTGGACGATGTTTCGATGCCATTAAAGGAGAACTACGGAGCCCAGCCGCCAATTGAGCTACTACGAATGATGCTCGATCACATGATGTGGTACGACAGAAAGAACATTGTGCCGATGAAGCTTATCGACCTGCAGATGATCGTAGCCATGGGACCTCCATCAACAGGAAATACGGTGACACCTCGTTTCCAGCGCTTTTTCAACGTGATATCTATTGATGATTTCAACAACGATATTTTGAATACCATATTTAGTAAGATTGTGCTGTGGCATCTGGACACCAGGTGAGTTTTTAAATCTGCTGTACCGAAAACGTATTGAAAAAATGTCCGAAAAAAATGGAAAAGCTGTCTGAAAAATATTTAAGTCATAAAATACCTAGTCGACATAATTATTTTTATCATAAAAAAATACAACGAAAGAGGTTTTGAATTTTTTTTTTTGCAGTTACTTTTAATTTTGCTTTGGGGAAATTTTTTTATACCCGTTACTCGTAGAGTAAAAGGGTATATTGTATTCGTGCAAAAGTATGTAACAGGGAGAAGGAAGCGTTTCCGACCCCATAAAGTATATATATTCTTGATCAGGATCACTAGCTGAGTCGATCTAGCCATGTCCGTCTGTCCGTCTGTCCGTCTGTCTGTCCGTCTGTCCGTCTGTCTGTCTGTATGAACGCTGAGATCTCAGAAACTATAAAAGCTAGAAGATTGGCATTTTGCATGCAGATTTTAGGAGTTCCTACGCAGCGCAAGTTTGTTTCAAAATGGTGCCACGCCCCCTCTAACGCCCACAATCGCTTATTTACGATTTTAAAAATTTTAATATTTTGGAAAAGTAAAAATGCAGTTTTATTGTGTTAAAAATACCTATCGAAATGTAGAAGAATTTTTTCAAATCGGACCATTCGTTAAAAAGTTATGCGTGATCAACGTTTTCTATCTCTATCTCCATCTCCCTCGCACTCCCTTTACCTGAGTAACGGGTATCTGATAGTCGGGGCACCCGACTATAACGTTCTCTCTTGTTTTTTTTAAAGCCCCAGGAAAAAAATTTTTTAACTTTTTAAAGGGTGCATAATGGGTTAAGAACATTTTTGTGTCATTTAAACCAAATTGAAGTGCTCTTTCCATAGGTGCCAAAAGTTTATATTATAAGTTCAAAATATAAGTAGATCCAACTTTAAAATCTGCAAAATAATTATGACGACTAGTGTATATTCCCAGCTTCGGTTTTCGAAGATTCTCCCCTATAATTGTGTTCGTAATGCATTTTCCCAACCCAAACCAACCCAGGGGCTTTTCCAAGGAGTTCGATCCTTGTATTGACGAGATCGTAGGCGCCACCCTGACCATTTACAATGACGCCAAACTGAATCTGCTTCCCACCCCGGCCAAATCGCATTATCTCTTCAATCTGCGCGACTTCTCGAGGGTGATACAGGGCGTCCTGCTGTCCGTTCCCGAGGCGACCGAAGATGTCAACTCCATGAGGCGACTGTGGGTGCACGAGGTGTTGCGGGTGTACGGGGATCGTCTGGTGGAGGATGCCGATCGCACGTGGCTGTTTGAGAATATCTGCAGCACGGTTAAGGCATCCTTCAACACGGATCCCTCGCGCCTATTTGGTCGACTTGTGGAGAAGGACAAATCCCTGCAGGAGTCCGATTTCCGTCAGTTGATATACTGTGACTTTACCAATCCGAAGGCGGACACCAAAAACTATGTGGAAGTGCAGGATCTGGAGGAGTTGCGCCGGGTGGTGGAGGCCTATCTGGTGGAGTACAACAACATGTCGAAGAAGCCCATGAATCTGGTGCTTTTCCGCTTCGCCATCGAGCATTTGTCGCGCATATGCCGCATCATAAAGCAGCCGAGGAGTCATGCTCTGCTCATCGGGGTCGGTGGCTCCGGGCGCCAGAGCCTGACTCGATTGGCTTCGCATATATGCGACTATGAGCTGTTCCAGGTGGAAATCACGCGATTGTATGGGCCGTACGAGTATCACGAGGACATCAAGGCGATCCTACGCAAAATTGGGGCATCCGAGATGCACGGAGTCTTTCTCTTTACGGACGTTCAGGTGGGGAACCGCAATTGGCAATTCGACTGTGTCCCGGGCTTTCCTTGGTCTCGCTAACTCTTCTAGACTCTTCCAGATCAAAGATGAGTCCTTCCTGGAGGACATCAGCAATCTACTCAACTCCGGCGAGGTGCCCAATCTCTTTAGCAACGAAGAGAAGATCGAGGTGCAGGAGAAGATGGCCCAGATTGACAAGCAGAGGGACAAGGCCGTGCAAACGGATGGCAGTCCCGTGGCCCTCTTTAACTTTTTTGTCACGGTGGGGTTCTTAAGCACAAACTATATAACTATCTTTATTTTCAAAGTCGATTTTAATGGAGTATTTGTAATCCGTTTAAATCGAATATTTCAACTAATTTTATAGGACCTTTTATTTTAAGTCTGTTTCTTTTAAACACATAAAACTTAAACAGAAAAACTCAAAAGTGTATTATCTTAAAATTTAAATTTCCCTACTAATCCCTGTAAATAATTCGCTCGACAGACCTGCAAGGATCAGCTACATATTGTCTTGGCTATGTCGCCAATTGGCGATGCACTGCGGACCCGCATCCGTAAATTCCCCTCGATTGTCAATTGTTGTACGATCGATTGGTTCCAGTCCTGGCCGGAGGACGCACTGCTGGCCGTCTCCACACGTTTCCTGGCCAACGAGGATCTCACTGCGCTGGAGCGCCGCACAGCCATTGATATGTGCATGGACTTTCACACTTCCACCCAAGAGCTTTCCGCCAAGTTCTTCTCAAGGTTGCATCGGTACAACTATGTGACACCCACTTCCTATCTGGAATTGATCCAGACCTTCAAAACATTGCTTGGACAAAAAAGAAAGTGAGTGTGTAAAGTAAAAGTAAACAAAATATAATCAAGACAGTTCGCTATAGTCGAGTACTTCGACTATCAGATACCCGTTACTCAGCTAAAGGTTACTCAGCGGCTGTTGAAATTTTTTATGGCTCCATCTAGCGGCTGTTTAAATTTTTGCTCATAACTTTTTAATGAATGGTTCGATTAAAAATTTGCATTTATACCTTCCTTATGCACGAATTCTATATAACAATTTACTCCACGGGTTTAACTTTCACGCAAAAGGTGTGAATTTTATGTTTAAAATCACTGATAAATTTAAACTTTTTCCCCTTTATTTTAGCAACATTACAATGAATCGCAATCGCTATTTGACGGGAATTTCCCAGCTGGACATTGCTGCTCAGCAAGTGGCTGTGATGCAGGAGCAACTTATCGCCCTGGAACCGAAATTGAAGGAAGCCTCTGAGATTGTGGCTGAACAGGTGGCCAAGGTGACAGCCGATAGCAAGCTGGCCGAGGAGCAGCGGGAAATTGTAAAGCTGGATGAGAGTGCGGCCAAGGAACAGGCGGCCGTAGCCCAGGAGATCAAGGACGAGTGCGATGCCAAGCTGGGAGAGGCGTTGCCCATTTTGGAATCGGCTTTGGCCGCTTTAAATACCCTAACCACTGCGGATATTGCGGTGGTCAAGACCATGAAGAGTCCGCCCATTGGTGTGAGAATCGTAATGGAGGCGGTTTGCATTCTGAAAGACGTAAAGCCCGACAAGGTGCCGAATCCGAGTGGCCTGGGCACTATTGAGGATTATTGGGGACCCTCGAAGCGTGTTCTCAGTGACATGAAGTTCCTGGACAGTCTGCTCAACTTCGACAAGGATAATATTCCCGTGGAGGTGATGAAGAAGCTGGCACAGCGCATTCTTAGCAACGAGGCCTTTGATCCGGAAAAGATTAAGAGCGCCTCCACGGCCTGCGAAGGTCTGTGCCGTTGGGTTATTGCCTTGTCTAAGTACGATGTAGTGGCCAAGATTGTGGCGCCCAAAAAGTTGGCTTTGGCCGAGGCCGAAGCCACTTACAATGCGGCTATGAAGACGCTCAACGAGAAACTGGCCATGTTGGCCAAAGTGGAGGCCAACTTGGCAGCCATTCAGAAGATTCTCGATGAGCAACTTCGGCAATATGGGTGAGTCGAAGAAAGATTCTAATTTATCAAATACTAATGCTGTATTCCATATAGTATTTTGCTGGCGGAGCATGAGGCTTGTACCAAGAAATTGCAGCGAGCCCAGGAGCTCATTTCTGGTTTGGGTGGCGAGAGGACTCGATGGTCTGAGACGGCCAAAATGCTGCAAGCCAGCTTTAAAAGCGTCACCGGCGATGTACTGATCTCATCTGGCGTCGTCTCGTACTTGGGTCCCTTCACCATCGATTTCAGGTTGGAACAGATTCGCAAGTGGGTGGCCAAGTGCCTGAATTTCGGTGTTACTTGCACTCCCGACTTTCAACTGGCTGTTGTCCTGGGCGAACCTGTGGAAATTCGGTTCTGGAACATTTGCGGTCTGCCAACGGATGCTTTCTCCGTCGAGAGTGCTATTATGATGAAGTGAGTAGGAACTTGTTATAGCAACAAATAATTAAGTTAAGGTAACCAGTGATTTATACATTTTCAGTCACTGATAGATTTATAGATAGATCTAATTTTGGGAAACTCAATAATATTTTACCTTTACATTTAAATTAATCAAACACAATTATTTTCAAACACAAATATGCTTCAGGTTGATATTATATAACTACAAATTTAACCCAATACCATTTCAACCACAAGTTATGACAACATCTGGCACTGCCCCTCGGAAAATCCCCTGTGGTGATCGCTAAGCCAGCTATCGCATCAATTAAACAACCTGACACGGTAATTATGGTCCTGCCTTGGCTGTCAGCGGCACGGAAGTTCCGAGCACACGGCTTCTGTGTTTCTTCGTTTTCTAATTACAAAACATAAAACGTTAGAATTCACGCGTATTAGGAAAATTAAAGATACGCCTCGTGCTAAGCGGGTGGAGTGTGGGAACGGCACCGGATGCTGCACGGGACCGCGAACTGGAACGGAATCGGGAATGGGAATGAAAACAGTAGCTGGGGTAGGTGTTTAGCCGGAAAGGGAAAGGGGGAGGGATGCATGCGCGCATTAAGCAGCGTACCCGCATGTGGCCAGAAGGACTCGTTGCCAGGACACGCCATCTCGGTGGTGGCTGCTGTGCCCGCCAAAGGTACAAAGGGCACATAAACCGAGATGGGGTGCACCGAGAAAAAATCTGAAAGCCAGATTTGTATTTAATTTAAATATTTGAAATAATGATATTAATTTTAATGATTTTGTGTGTAAGCGACGACAACCTAAAATATTTTAAGCTAAAATAATAAAAGATGATTGGTTCCAAGTAGAGCTTAAAAATTATCGATATTTTAGATTATTTCAAATTATTGATTCGATAATATCGATGCTTCGAAGGGAAAACATATAAAATATCACTAAATTATCAAACTTACGATTATTTTTTTGCTTTAGTTTGAAGACTATTTTTATGTAATCACTCTTTGCTTTTTTATAACTTTTTTTATATTAGTAATACGCTTTAACAATTTTTTTCTCGTGTGAGAGGTTGCTTTGGGTGGAATAGTGAAGGAGGCTGGCAGGCAGAATTTTCATGTTTGATGCGTGTATTACGCATCTGGTGGGTTTCTCGGAGGTCAGAGAGCGGGGCCACATGCCACTCCACGACGTTCCATGCCACTCCAAGTCGATTTAATAAAGGAAATTCCTGGCCGCTTTCCACGAAAGTGTTCAAAGTAATTTGGAGCATGCCCGAAAATACCTGAGGGGCCCCGGCTTTTTCCGAAGGGAGGAAAATGCGGGCAGGGCAACTCCAGAATCCCGAATCGCCCTGTATAAGCAATTGATTAATGTGCGCCCAGAGCGGATTAGGTTTAATTTTTACCCAGCCGGAGGGGTAGCTGCGATATGCGATAGCGACAGACGATTGCACATCCTTGGGGATTTGCTTTCTAGTTTCGGGCCTTTGTCTATCCTTCTGTCTATATAGACGAATTTGTATTTGTGTTTGCCAAATATCCCGAGAGCCAGCAGGGTGGCTGGAATGTTGTCCTTACTATTAACATTCATTTGCTTAATATTTCGGGTGACACGTAGCACATATGGTGACCTCCTCTTTCAGCCGTCGTAAAATGCTACGGCCGTATATTGGGAATCAGGTGTGGATGTCTTCCATTTCGGGCAGCCGGTTTTTAGGGTAATGTGAAATTTGAGGGCCGTGCCTTTGATTAAATAATGTTAATTTGAAAAGGGCAAAAACAATTTGTAACCGTCCATTTTGGGTCCATTTTATTAAATTGTCAGGGAGGTTTTTGTCGTATTTTAAATGTATTAGTTGAATTACATTTCCCAGTTCAATGCTATAGGTCCAAAAGCCATTGTTAGGTATTGGAAAATATAAACAAAAGAATATTATGCAGTGGTGCTGCAACTTTTCTAAAATCGCCTTACCCTAAGTCGTATTCTTTATATTAAGTTCTCCTCGCGGAATTATAAATGAATATAAAACAATGACGGGGATTCTGTGAAAATAGTTGCTGTTTTTTTTGTCACCAACAGTAAATCTCCAAATTCTATTCAACAGATTCTCAACTGGTTTACAACGCGAGTTGTATTGCATTTTTAACTGTATTCTAACTATTTGCCGGGAAACTTTCAGTTTTGTTTTGTCACAAAAAGTTGTATCTTTTTCCAATCCCAGCTATTCATTCCTCCCTGGCGGTGCGCTCTGAACTTTAACCGGGTATTCACATGCCAACTGACTACCGCCGAGGTCCCAGCCTCCATGTGTTTCCATTGTACTCCGTGTCCTGGCACATCGTATGGGGTTTTCGGCTGGAATTCGTTGTTCAAAAATTGTTGGTGCTCTTCTTTTTTGATTTTGGGATACGTGTGCCGACTGTGGCGACGGCGACGGCGACGGCATATTGCTCTTTTCTTTTTCCATCAAATATTTTTCATTCATCAAGTTTTCAATTTACAAAAATGTTCATTCATTCGCACGAGCAATTTGTATTCGGTGTGAATTTGTCATGTGTTGGCTGCCGTTGTTGCTGCTCGCGCTGCAACTTATTGTTGCTATTCCCGCTTTCTCTATTTTTTTTGTCGCCCCCGATTTCCACTTCCATTTATTTTTTCTTCACTGGCTGTGAGTTATCGCATCAGCTATATGTATATGCAGTTCCCGACACACCCAACGACCGCAATTGAAGTATACATAAATGTGTATTTGTATATTTATATCACAAATCAGGGGCTTAGTCGTAGACTGTGATTTTAAGGGGGTGGTAAAAATACTAATCACGGTTAGTTAATATTATTTATTAGAATTTGGACTTTGAATCACCCACAAAGTTTTACCAAGTAATTTAAAATAAAAACCTCATAAGTTAATCATAATTTAATATAGAATTAAGGGTTATTATGCAAGAAATGTAAAAAATGTTGTCACTTTAATTATATTTCAATATATTATACTTTATATACCCCCTTTTCTGGCTGGGCCTCTGACTAAAGTCCTTTTGTAATATAGTTCTGTTTGTGGCTTAACGTTTGCATGATGTATTGGCGTATTTGAAGCCAGAGGTTTTGCTCCCATTCCAAAACCCACAAGGCACACACACTCACACCGATATATTCGAATAATGCGAGCAGAAAATACTTTCTATAGCATTATTTACGCTTATGAATTATTGACGTAAATATTGAATGTTTATTTATGCGGTATTTTCTTTTTTAATATTCCAACTTCAACTAGCTGATGAGCTTGTTGTGGTGGCCCATTGTTGGCCCATGTTGACAAATTTTTTTTGCCCTATTATATCATTTAAAGTACAAATGTTTAGCAAGGATATTTAAATGTTTTTGCAGAAATGCTCGACGCTGGCCCTTAATGATTGATCCACAAGGACAGGCCAATAAATGGATCAAGAACTATGAGAAGAACAACAAGCTCTGCGTAATTCGTCTCAATCAAGCGGATTACACTCGTGTCATGGAGAATGCCATCCAATTTGGTCTGCCCGTGCTCCTGGAAAACATTGGCGAGGAGCTGGATCCCGTCCTGGAGTCCGTGCTCCAAAAGACGCTTTTCAAACAGGGCGGCGCACTCTGCATTAAGTTGGGCGACTCGGTGATTGAATATAATCATAATTTTAGGTGGGTTGGTACCCATTCATAACTGCATATAAAAGAAGGCCTAACATGCTATAATTATGTTATTACAGATTCTATATGACAACTAAGCTCAGAAATCCGCACTATTTGCCTGAGGTTGCTGTCAAGGTAACCCTGCTGAACTTTATGATCACCACTCAGGGATTGCAAGATCAATTGTTGGGAATAACGGTGGCCAGGGAACGTCCTGATTTGGAGGCGGAGAAGAACAACCTAATTGTCCAGGGAGCTGACAACAAACGGATGCTAAAGGAGACCGAAGATCAGATTCTGGAAGTGCTCTCATCAGCCGAAAATATTCTGGAGGACGAGACGGCCGTACAGATTCTGAGTTCAGCCAAGGCCCTGGCCAATGATATTAGTGAGAAGCAGGTCATCACTGAGGCCACAGAAAAGCAAATTGATATAGCACGTTTGAGTTATGTGCCTATAGCCGAACACTCAACTATATTGTTCTTTACTATAGGTGGAGTTAACCTAACTTAATTCGTTTTATTGTTATAATTTTAAAAATATGTCTGTTTCTCTAACAGTGGAACTGGCCAACATCGATCCCATGTACCAGTACAGTCTGGCTTGGTTCGTCAACCTGTACATGTCATCCATCGATAATACGGAAAAGGTGGACGACATAGCGGCACGTCTGCTGGATCTTCGAAATCACTTCACCTACAGCCTGTATGTCAACATCTGTCGCAGTCTCTTCGAGCGTGTGAGTGCCCATTGGATAAACCCAATTATCGTCAAACGACGGTCCGCTGGCCAGTATCCTGGCCCTTTAGCCTCGTTAGTCCCGTAATTGCGCATAATCTGATAATGTGACATTTGAAGCGTGGTCCTTTGCGTTTCATTTGCTTTGTGGCTGAGCATCCTGCTCAGCTTGACTTGACTTGACTGCTTTTAAATAATATTTAAGCATTACTGCTCCACAAGTACATTGTACTTGTACGCCACTTCGACGAACAATGGAGTTGAAGCAGTTGCAGTAACTGGAAGCTGAGTGGTCACAATGGAAAGTAAAAATAAAATCGTAGGGGAAAATATTTCTGTATAATTTTATGAGATTTTAACGAATATTAGGAAATAACTACACTTAGTTTTATGTAATTTAAATTACCATGTTTTTGATTCCAGTGGAATCTCAATTTATGTTTGCTTCTGACTATAGATTTCTTTCCAATTCGTTTAAATCCACTGTGCAGCTGCTCGAATAATGTTATTACATTGCTGGTGCAATCAAAGGATGTACCCAGCCAAAGGAAGCTGGGGCAAAAAGGAAATAATAATCCAAACAAGTTCTAGCTAGATTTATGCTGTTTTCAGTCAATTATGCCATGGCCTTTCCCTGTCCTCTAGCCTTTGCCTTGGCTCCCAGTTGCGACCCTTCGAAGGGCTAACCTTTGATCCCCAGCTTTTAATTTTCTTGTGCACAAAAAAAAAAAAACGAAGTGAATTGCTATCAGAGAAGCAGCATCACCGCTTGGCCTCGGAAATGCTTTGATTTCGGTGGGCAACCTTTCCGTGTAACCCATTTAATGCGAGAGTGAGCACCTAAGCCCTGACCCTGAAAGACCCCAATCACATCACATCACTTGTTACCCCTTACCAATTTATACATTCAGAGAAAAATACTAGGATTTTGAACTTCCGGTGCAAACGTAAATATCTTGTAGATCCTTCAGCTAGAAAATTATTAATTAGGAAAAGAAGAGATTAAATTAATGTTGAAAATTTATTTTGATTTTAATCAATTTAATCTGAGTGTAATGAAATGTTTTGACCTTTGAACAGGATAAGCTGCTGTTTTCGCTCATATTGAACGTCAACATGATGAAGCACGACAATCGGATTGACAATGCCGAATGGATGTTTCTGCTGACTGGAGGCGTTGGTTTGGAGAATCCGTTCAAGAATCCTACCACCTGGCTGGGCGTCCAAAATTGGGATGAGCTCTGTCGCCTGACTAATTTGCCCAATTTCAAGGGCTTACGCGAGGACTTCACCGACAATTCGGCCCAATGGAAGCCGTTCTTTGATTCCAAGACGCCGCAGGATAATAAGGATGTACCGAAATCCTGGGAAAAGCGAGTGAGCATGTTCCAGAAGCTCTTGCTTCTTCGCGTCTTTCGGCCGGATAAACTGGTACCGGCTGTCTTGAACTTTGTGAGCGCAGAACTGGGTGAACGATTTGTGGATCCACCGCAGTTCGATTTGATGGCTTCTTTCGGCGACTCGCACTGCTGTGTGCCCTTGATATTTATCCTGACCCCCGGCTCGGATCCCACGGCCACACTTCTGAAGTTTGCCGAGGACCAGGGCTTTGGTACCAATCGATTGTTCTCGCTGTCCTTGGGTCAAGGTCAGGGCCCTATTGCCATGAAGATGATCGACGAAGGCGTCAAGATGGGCAATTGGGTGGTGCTGCAGAACTGTCACTTGGCAGCTAGTTTTATGCCCTTGCTGGAGAAGATTTGTGAGAACCTAGTGCCGGATGCAACACATCCTGACTTTAGGCTGTGGCTCACCTCCTATCCCGCGGATCATTTTCCAGTGGTGGTCTTGCAGAATGGCATCAAGATGACCAATGAACCGCCCAAGGGCTTGCGCTCCAACATTCTCCGCTCAATGTTAAGTGACCCTATTAGTGATCCCGAGTGGTATGAGTCCTGCACTCAGCCGAGGATTTTCAAGCAGCTCATTTACTCGCTGTGCTTCTTCCATGCGGTTATCCAGGAGAGGAGGTACTTTGGCCCGATCGGATGGAACATCCCCTACGAATTCAACGAGACTGATCTCAGGATATCCCTGATGCAACTAAGGATGTTCCTCAACCAATATGAGACTGTTAACTATGATGCGTTGCGATATTTGACGGGCGAGTGCAATTACGGAGGACGTGTAACGGATGACTGGGATCGCAGAACGTTGAAAACCATTTTAGATAAGTATTACTGTCCAGCGGTTATTGACTTGGAGAAGCCGTACTATCTCGACGAGACGGGTCAATACTATGTGCCGGTCTTCAAGGAGGTGGATTTGTATCTTAACTTTACGAAAGACCTGCCGCAGATCTCGACTCCGGCCATCTTTGGCTTCCACGCCAACGCGGATATCATGAAGGACCAAAAGGAAACGGACATGTTACTGTCGCACACTCTGCTCACACAGGTAAGTAAACCCTATATTGTATGGTAAAATATTTATAGAGCGAGTAGCTTTCGTATTCGATATTGTTATTGCTAAATATTTTTGCTTTTTCATTGCTTGCTTTGCCATAAAAGGAACGTTGGGTAAGAGTTTTAGAATAGATTTTGAACGCATACATTTAATTAACGTTACGGTTTTATTGTCACACTTTATATAGGACCTCTATGATCGACGCGTAAGTATCGGCTAATCCTTTTTGATGCTTTAACACTCCCTACAGCTATTTAATGAGTATCTTGCTTTACACGCTGCATATTAGAAATTGGAGAAAAAACAAAGGGTCTATGTAGAAACTCTTAGCAGACGCTTTCCCGAGAACCTTTCCCTACCCACTTATCCCACCTGTCCTCCCTTCCTTGCCCTCCATCATTTGCCCCTGAAGGACACGAGCGCAACCTCGGATGACAGCGGCGGTTCCAAGGCACTGACGCCCGAGGAGGTCGTTACTAATGTGGCCACCGATATACTGGAAAAGTTGCCAAAGCTTTTCGATCGGGATGCGGCTCTGCTCAAATATCCGACTCTGTACCACCAAAGCATGAACACGGTGTTGGTTCAAGAGATGGTGCGCTTTAATGTCCTACTGAACACGATCCGAACTAGCCTTATTACGCTGCGCAAAGGAATTAAGGGTAAGCGAGTCAGTTTCCTTTCAGTTACAACTGCAACAATAAAAGAAGATCAATATGTCAGCAGATTCATAACGAAAACGATATCAATTCTACACACATAAAAAATCCACCCCGGGTAGGCTATCCACCCCACATGGTAAACTTCTGATATGTATACGCAAATCGTTAATACCATGCAATGCTGGTAAAATTGATATTAGGTAGTGTCGTTTTGACGATTTCTCTCTCTCGGAGATTCTCTGACTTAAAAAATAGTAGAAGCGAAAAGAACAAATTCACTCAAATCGGACGGAAAACATTCGAAATTCGAATTGCATTTCGAGCATATCGAATTGGGTAGCCGCATATTAAGTCTAAATTGATACCAGATAATATCAAATTGGTTATAGTTTCTTATAAATTTTTTATTCGTGGTTGCTGGTATAATTTTTAGTTTATGTTATTCGGTATCTGAAAATATCCTACTTGCGGCTTCTAGTGTTTTATCATTGACGGGCAAGTGGTCTTCGCTTGTTTGAATGGGGATCAATGCGTCAAGTGGATTATTGAAATGGGAGCCCAAGGAGCCCATGTGCCGTTTTTCCTCATTTTCCTCAGTTTCCTCCTCTTGTGACTTCGGCTTAGCTTTTTTAATAGGTACTGGCTTTCCTTTGATTTTAGCTTTATCAGTTTTAAGTAAAGCCGGTGTTGGCATCATATTTTTTAACCCAGAAGAACGTACGGGTACGGGTATAAAAGATTCTGCTTCTTCGACCATGACAGGCTCAATAGGATCAGCTTGCAGATCGGGTCCGGCTTCGGCCTCGGCTTCGCCCTCGCGATCGGCCTCTCGTATGGCCTCGTGTTCGGGTAAGGGCTTTGGTTCGATTTTGAATTCTGGATCCGGTTCCTTTGCCGTTTCTTTAGGTGGTTCCAATTCCTTGGCAGTTGAATCAATGGTTTTTATATTCCTGAAATCTGAGGAAATCGGTTTCAAATCCTTTGGAATTGGATCAATAACCGGTTCAATTCTCTCGGGAATCGGAGCAATAACCGGTTCAGTTCTCTTGGGAATCGGATCAATAACGGGTTCAATTTCCTTGGGAGTTGAGACCACTGGTTCCAAATTATCAAGAGATTTTGACTGATCCAATTCCAATTGATTTGAGTCCAAAGGTTTTAATTCGGCAGCTGCAATCTTTATCTCTTCTCGATCAGTAAGAGTTTTGGGTGGCTGGGAAGTCTTCAAGCTTATTCCTTTTGCTAGACTGGTTGGTACTTGCATTTCATGAAATGAGACTTTCTGCGATTCAATACCAAGCATCACGTCCTCTTCTTCTTCTTCTTCATCTTCTATTTCCATTTCATTCATGATATCATTTTCAAAAATCTTTTTGGCTAATTCCATTTTTTCTTCCTCTTTGTCCTCATTTCTGATAAGTTTTACAATCTCAATAGAAACATTTCTTTCTTCCTCATTGGGGAGCATTACCCTGTAGCCTCTGCCTATGAGGGATGGCAAGTTTGACTGTTGCGAAAAATCTAAAGTACTTCTAAGACTGAACAAATCGCTGGGTTCGATTTTTAGGTTGCCAATGGGATTTATTATTTGAGACTTTAAAAACTCATCGCTACCAGACGCCGGTTCATCCCCAAGGGGATTATCCACGTTTACTAATGTTCTTGTGACATTGTCGATTTTAAATTTTTTAGTTAGGTTCAACGTCTGTTGTCGTAAAAAGTCCGAACCTTTCACGGAAGGTTGATTTCCGATATCAAGATTTTCTTTTTCGCGAATATTGTCCCAGCTATTTATCTCACGCTGAGAAGGAGTCATACGGAGATCTATTAAATCGATGGATCTAATGGGTGGTGGATTGTTCATCTTGTGGAAAATTTCGTGGAATACATCGTTAAATAGATCGTTATAGTTTTCGGTCACGATCCGTTCACTTTCTTCTAGCCACCGTCTTCCGGGAACTGCCCTTCGAATGACCTTTCTTATTATGGCATGAGCCTCGCACCAGGAGGACTTCTGAGGGATTTCACTTTCGCTGTCCGTGGACATGAGGTATAAATCGTTGTCGATGAGGCGATCGATGAGATCGCTCGTTAACGAGCTGCCTATGTCAAACGGATCTAGTTCCATCCACACTTTTTGAAAGATCACATCCTCCACCACATATTGCACGATCAGTGAGTTTTCATGACGCTGGAGAACTTGATTCATATTGGGGGAGATCATGTCGTTCAGCATCAGCCGTAGAGGAACGTAGGTGAGGGGGTTCTGGATCAGCTTGAAGCTCTCTAGCCATCGATCTATATCCGTATCGATTTGCTTTGCCACTTCACTTACTGTCTCGGCAGCCGAGCACTCGGCCACATTGTACATATCTGAGCTCAGAATCTGTGCGAAATATTTATTCGAAATTTCGTTGTTGACCACATTGCAGTGCTGGAACAACTCCTCGTACATCAATCTCATATCGTTCTCCTTCTGTCTCAATCCAGCCTCGGTTGCCTCGCGCCGCCATCGCTCCTTCTGAGCCATAATCGCGAAAAAGTGAAGCCTGCGTAGTTCAGAGAGACGAGTCATCTCTTCTGATAGGAACTGCATCACCCATCCTATGTAGGTGCCCTCGTAAGTGTTCAACAAATTCTCCATGCCTTCTCGCTTTCTATCGTTCTTCAAATTCGTTAACATATCCTCTGAAATTTCCTTTTTATTAGCCTCAAGGTAATCGGCATTTTTACTATAGGCTACTCTATCTACGGAACCACCCTTTACAGATGGATCGGAAGACTTAACATCATAGAGGTCTGTCAAATACGTCAAGGTCACTTGGGATGCCGCTCTACTCAATTCTTTCCTTCGTCGCTTCTTGAGACACTTTGGATCTTCTTTCTCCTTGGCGGCCTGAGTTCTGAGGGCCTTTAGGCATTCAAAGAGCTTTTGAAGATTGTCCTCATTGCAGAAGTTTCGCTCATACTCCTGGTCATACTTTTTGGGCTTGGACCAATCCTTTAGCTTTCTGAACGGACATTTTAAATGGCTCATGTTGACTTTCTTCTCCAGTTCGTCGATTCTCATGTCGAAAGCATTTTGTCCGGTTTTTGAGACAAAGTTTCGATGTGCCGGATCGACGCCATATCTTAAAAGCGGAGCGTAGAATTCGGAGCACGGAGAACCCAAAGAATGCATGGGCTTTTGCTTTTGCCATCTTCGTGGAGTCTTCGTGACTTGGAACTCCAGTCGCCGCATTCCCCGCTGGAATTCGATCTCGTTCTTTCGCAAGCCAGCTAGTCGTCGTTCCTCAATTCGCTTGCAGGCCTGTTCAATCCGTGACTTGGAGGCGGCGTGCATTTCCTTCTCCCTTTTGTCAAACATCTTGATCACGATCTGCAGACGCATCATCTGACACTCCTGTATGTCCTCCTCCCGCTGGATCCACTGTTCCCACTCGAAGGCTTCCAAAATCTCCTGGTACTCGGTTTTTATAGCCACTTCCCTTGCATCGTTCAGTAGTCTTTTAAAGTTTGCCTTAAGGGCATCACTGAAGGCCCATCGCTTCCTGGCACGCTCCAGGATCTCGACCTCATGCAAGCCTGGTCGATTTGATCCTGGCAATACGGATGGCAGCGAGAAGAGCTCCAATTTCTTAAATTGTTTTGTTTCTAAAATTTCCGGCAAATAACTCATAGTCTGCGCAGAGGATTCCCTAAGAATTACGCAGACAAAAGATAAAATAAGATTTTATAAAGTTCCCTTTCAATTTACCTGTAAAGCGTCTGGGTAATTTTATTCTTAAAGGGTCGCGTGTCCTTCACTTTAGAGAAGAAATCGCATTTGTGCCTTAGCTCTTTTTTCATGACTACGCTGGGACTCATTTTGACCTCATGGGTGTTTATAGTCGTGACTCGTTCGTTAAGAAAACGGAATCCCGGGGCCTTAAACTGACATTCGCTGTCGGTGCGCGGCAATTTTCCAACATTACGAGGGGCTGGATCGTTTGCACCTAGAAAATTGGACAGTTAACTAAGTGGAATCGAAAAAGAATGTTTTTACAAAGTTTTTTTACCTCCGACGATACGTAAATTGGGCGAGCTGTTGGTCAAACACGATGTTAAACCACTTTGCGCCTGCTTTTCATTTTTCTTGGTGAGTTTTTTTCTTTTGATATTATCCTGACGGCGTCTAGAAGTTGGTGGACTTACAGCTCTGGTTGACCTATCTTCCGAAAGAACCCTGAACTTAACCTGACTTGCTAGTCGCGTATTATGTATTGGCATTATTAAATAATTAAACAATTTTTTTTTTATTTTTTATTAGTGTTATTTTTGTGTATTTTGATGGGTATTGTGTCAGCAAATGAGTTTCATATTTAATTAATTTCGATTTGTATTTTCAGTGGGCTACTAAGTTTTATTTTGTATCAACATTCAATTACATCATGACCTATTTTAAGAAAACCAATACTTTCTTTTATCTTTACTTTACCTTTTCTATTTTAGGTTTGGTTGTAATGTCTGCCGCAGTCGAGGCGGTTTACAAGTCCGTTCTGATAGCCAAGATCCCAGCAATGTGGGCTGGAAAATCATACCCAAGTCTGAAGCCTCTGGGCAGTTATGTTAACGATTTTCTTCGCCGCCTTGAGTTCCTGCAGGTGAGTAAGCAGTATGTTTTAATATTAGTGCTCTTTAATAGCTTTTCTTCTCCATATTACAGCACTGGTACGATCATGGAGCGCCTTCAACCTTCTGGCTATCTGGCTTTTTCTTCACCCAAGCCTTCCTAACGGGTGCCCAGCAGAATTATGCGCGAAAATATGTTATATCCATTGATCTGCTTGCCTTCGACTATGAGGTTCTCTCGCTGGAAGAGACACAAATTAAGGGTTTAAGCAGTCCCGAAGATGGTGTCTTTGTGTATGGTATTTTCCTAGAGGGTGCTCGTTGGGATCGAACAGGAAAGTATCTTGCTGAATCTCGGCCAAGGGAACTGTTCGATACGATGCCGCTGATTTGGTTGAAGCCACTCAAGCGGGTTGACCTGCCCGAGCGTCATAATTATCTGTGTCCAATGTATAAGACGGCCGAAAGACGAGGAGTACTGTCCACAACAGGTCATAGTACCAACTTTGTGGTGGCTATGTTGCTACTCTGCAATCCAAATACCCCAGTCTCCCATTGGATTATTCGCGGGACGGCACTGTTATGTCAGCTGAGTTTTTAAAAACTGCATGTTTATTCGATTAATCTATATTTTGTAAGGTTTGGTTGAGACTAAAATAAAAGAAAAGTCTGAAAATGTAATTAATGGCTCCATCCTTAAATAAAACAAATATTTTAGATATTAGCCTAATAAGAATGACTGATTATGATTATGATTAATTTTAAGTAAACGTAAATAATCCATAAAATCCAAAGAATACATACATTAATCCCAAGTAAAATATGATCAAATCTGCTCAAGATAGTGTACACTTTTTATTCGTATTGCTTTTCAAATATAAATTTCATAAATGTATGCGTATGAAAGTAACGAAAGGTACCGTTACCGAAGAATCGAATTTCAGAAGTTATCTGAATTTGAAGACCTGTGAATCCTTGGGGTAATAAACCACAATCTCTTCACCCACATCGGTATGCTCTTCCTCAAATTCCTCGTCATAAATGGTTGTTGAGCTATCTATTTCTTTCACAGACTTGTCTGATTCATCTTTTTGTTCTAAATCTTCCTGTTCAACTTCAATTTCTTCATTTTGCAATTCCTCACGATCTACCTCTTGTTCAGAAACGCTAACATGTTTTATCTCGTAGCTACTTTCAGAGGCAATTGCTTCTTCTTTTGAAGAGCTATCCAGCATCAACCTAGAACCCCGCAGGTCATTTAGATTATTTTCGTACTCGGAAATATTGACAGTACTTCTGATGCTGAATAACTCAGGATGTGCTACTGGAGATGCAGTTCCCAAGACATCAGATTTTTGAAGTACTTCGCTTCGAATATAGTTGTCAAATAACTCATCGTCATATTCATTCATTGGTAATTTCTCTTCGGCCTTCAGTTCCTTGGTAATCTTGTCTTCTTTAAATTTTTTAATGAGGGATAGAAATTGCATTCGTAAAAGATGCGTATGTTTCAGCGAATCTGATTGGGAGGACTCGTCCGACGATGGCATCCTCGTTGGAATCTCGTGCGCAAAGACAGCATATGATTTACTTGCACACAGCTGGATAAGTTCGGATGGCAAAACTCTAGCCGGATTTTCGATGCCGAATAGGATTTCGGAGAACACATCGTCGAACAGGCTGTTAAAGGTTTCGGTGACAATCCTCTCGTCCTCCTCTTTCCAGCGTCTTCCGGGAACCGCTTGGCGAATGAGTTTTCTTATTATGGCATGGGACTCATTCCAGGATTCCTTCTGGGGACTATCGCTATCGCTGTCCGATGAGAACAAAAATAGATCGTTGTCGATCAGGCGATCGATAAGATCGCTGGTCAGAGTACTGGCCACATCGAAAGGCTCCAGTTCGTGCCAGACTTTGCCAAAGATCACATCCTCCACTATGTACTGGGCAATCATAGAGGTCTCATAGCGCCGGAGCACAGCTCCCAAATCCGGAGAGACCATGTCCTGCAGCATCAGTCGAAGTGGAGTGAAATTGAGCGGATTCTGTATCAACTTGAAGGACTCCAGCCATCGCTCTATGTCCAAATCGATTTGCCTTGCCAACTCAGTAACAGTTTCGATGGTCTCGTCCTCTACAATGTGCCCCACATCGGTGGTCAGTATGGTGTCGGCATATTTGTGTGCCGTGTCACTGTGAACTGCATTGGTATGTTGGAACATCTCCTCGTAGAGCAGTCTTATCGTGTTCTCCTTCTGTCTCAGACCCGCCTCGGCTGCCTCACGTCGCCAGCGTTCCTTTTGGGCCAAAATGCAGAAGAAGTGCAGCTTGCGCTGCTCCTTCAGTCGATGCATTTCATCGGCCAGGAACTGCATGATGGTCCCAATATAGCTGCCTTCGTATGACCCTATCAGATTCTCCAGGTCTTCTCGCCCTATCACTGAGGCCCTCACTGGCTTCTCAACTCTTTGCGGTGTAGCCTTAACGCTTGTCTTTTCGGTACCACGGTGCGAATCTGGGAAGTCGATAAAACGAGACTTTCTAGCCTGATAGTAGGGCCGGAAGGAATCGCTTGAACTCGTACTGGGCGTTCGACGCTCTCTACGTATACGTGTTTTCAGGCAATTAGGTGGTTCCTTAACCGCGTCTGCCTGCGTTCGTAAGCTCTTTAAGGACTCGTAGAGCCTCTGTAGATTGCCATCATTGCAGAAGTTTCGCTCATACTCTCTGTCGTACTCCTTGGGCTTGGACCATTCCTTGAGCTTGCTGAAGGGACACTGAACATTACGCATATTGACCCGCTTCTCCAGATCGTCGATCCGCATGTCGAACGCCCTGCGTCCAGTGGTGGACTCAAAGCATCGTCGTGCCGGATCAACACCATGTCTTATCAGGGGACCATAGAACTCGGAGCATGGGGATCCGAGGGCTTGCATGGGACTCTGTTTTTCCCACTTTCGAGCTGTTTTGGCCAACTGGATATTTATGCGGCGCATTCCCCGCTGGTACTCAACTTCATTCTTGCGCAGACCCGCCTGACGACGTTTCTCGATGCGTTCGAAGGATTTCTCAATGCGAGCTTTGGAGGCGGCGTGCATTTCCTTCTCCCTCTTCTCGAACATCTTGATCACGATCTGGAGACGCATCATCTGGCACTCCTGTATGTCCTCCTCTCGCTGGACCCACTGCTCCCACTCGAAGGCCTCCAAAATCTCCTTGTACTGGGTTTTTATCGACACCTTTCTGGCCTCCCGAAGAAGTCTTTTAAAGTTCTCCTTCAGAGCCTTACCGAAGTCCCAACGCTTGCGAGCTCGCTCTAGAAATTCCACTTCATGCAATCCTGGTGCCTTGTTGCCCGGCAGCAATTTGGCCAAGGTGAACAATTCAAGAGTTTCGGATTTGTCTTGGCTTAAAATTTCTGGTAAAAAGGCCAAGGTCTGCGCCGAAGACTCCCTAGAAATGGATTTATTACACATCATCAAAAACCATCTAGAACTTATTATACCTGTAAAGGGTTTGTGTAGCCTCATCCTTGAAAGGTCGATTGTCCACAAACTTTGGAAAGTAGTCACATTTGTTTTTCAGCTCCTTTCTCAAAGGCTTCGAGTTCAGCTTGACTTCTTGAGTGGCATAGTCAGAGTGAAATTTTTGCAAAAAGAAGATGCCTGGCTCCTTGAATCGACATTCGCTGTCGGTTCGAGGTAATTTGCCAACATTTCGCACCGCTGGATTGTTGGCACCTGTAAATATCGAAATAAAAAGATTTTTATATTTGATTGGGACTAAACTTAGGCTAAACCCACCTGCAGTTAATCGGGAATCTGGTCTCCGCGTGCATGATGACTTAGAATGGCCTTTGTTGTCTGCTCGAGACTGGTTCTCCACAACTCTCTCGACTGGGTCGTTGCCGCCTGGAAATTAAGAACATAATTTGTTTTAAGGTCTAATATCACTCGATTGAAGTCAACTCACCACTCGTTAGTCTGGTATTTGAGGGCTTGGTGATTAAGCAAGACGTAAGGCCCTGTCCGATATTTTCCCTGACCATGGGCAATTCGCCAATGCTTCGCTGCTTCTTTCCATGGGTAAATGTGACTCGTTTCTTCTGTCGCAAAGAGTCATCCTTTGTTGGCACAGGGGACTGAAGTACCGTCGTGGAGTTGATGGGCCTAAGCTCTCTGTTTTCCCGGATAAACTCCAGGATTCTTTCCTTCCGCAAACGCTTCTCCTTTGCGGAGGGCATTTCTTACTTTTCGTGAGTGGAATTTCAATACCTTGAATTCTATTTTTTTTGTGTTCCTACGTGTTTTGGTTTAAAATGTGATTAATGCACGCTTGTAATTTACGTTTTCAGTTGTTATATAAGTGGCTTACTGGGTTAACTTCTCAACTTGCTGCCTTTCAGCTCAAGCTATTGTGAGTTGTGCGAAGCATTGGGTTAGTCAGTCAATCAGGAGCAATTACAATTCGCCAGGCAACCGACTTGTTGCTAAGGATCCACATTGTTTGTTGGCCAATCGATAGGCGCCCAAAATAAAATTGTAAGGCACCTCTTAACTAGTCAAAGATCTCAGGTAGCCAGACTATTTGCCAGTTCTTTTTTCAGACTTACTGTGATTCTTTTGCCAGGAATTTATCTAAAGACATAAATTATTCTAATTTTTAAAAATTTCATTATTTATTAAATGTAAATTAATGAAATAAATAAGCTGATCGTTTATTTTATTCTAATCCAAGAGTACATAGTTTTTAAAAACTTTGTAGGAATAACATTTATTAAAAATATACTCAAAGAAGATGGTTTAAATACGAGTCTCAGAAAACAATGATCTCAAAACTTTGCATTCTTCTCTTCCCTTCATTAAGGATCCCAGGTGATTGTCGATGTATAGTGGATGTTTTCATCCAGATTAATCTTCGATAGACTCCGAGTCGGACAATCTGGAAGCCAAGGCCACGGACAATCCTCGTCGTCGGGCAACAGGGTTTCAGTGTCTCCAAACTTCACATCAATGGAAGGTGGTGGCGATCCTTTGTATGCTTCATCAGGATCTATTTTCTTTCTTTCTAGTCCCCTTTTTTTCTTTATCAGGCTTAAAAATTGGGTTTTAAGTATCCGAGTGTCCATGGCACTTGAATCGGATTGATATTCCTTTAGTTGCGCCATAAAATTATTCTTTAATAGAATGTCGTCCGTGCCTATAAGGCATTCGTTAGAAAATTCCGAATGTACTATGACTGGTTCCATGGTTCGAGGATTTTCCATTTTGTGAATAATTTCGTCAAAAATATTATCCAACAGATCATTATAGTTCTCGTAAACAATGCGTTCCGACTCCTCTTTCCAACGCTGGCCGGGGACCGATTGTCGAATAAGTTTTCGTATAATCGCATGAGATTCGTACCAGGATGGCTTTTGCGCTGTTTCACTTTCACTCTCGGAGGAAAATAAATACAGATCGTTGTCGATGAGGCGGTCAATTAGATCGCTGGTCAGGGTACTCGATATATCATATGGTTCCAGTTCCTTCCACATTATGGCCAAGATCACATCGTCCACTATGTACTGGGCAATCAGAGTCTTCTCACAGCGCTGCAGGGCAGAATTCAAGTCGGGACAGACCATATCGTGCAACATCAGACGCAGTGGAATATATGTGAGAGGATTCTGGATCAGCTTAAAACTCTCCAGCCACCTTTCAATGTCCACATCGATTTGCTTGGCCATTTCCGTGACTGTCTCAGCTGCTTCGTTGGCAGCCATGCAACCCAAATCTGTGGTCAGTATGCTGTGGACATAGTGATCACTGACATCTAAGTGGTTAACGTTGGATTGCTGGAACATCTCCTCGTACAGCAACCTCTGGCAGTTCTCCTTCTGCCTCAGGCCCGCCTCGGTGGCCTCGCGCCGCCAACGTTCCTTTTGGGCCAAAACCGAGAAGAAGTGCAGCCGACGTTGCTCCTTTAACCTAGCCATTTCATCGGATAGGAACTGCATCATGAAACCAATCAAGCTGCCCTCGTATGCGATTATCATATGCTTTATATCTTTTTGATGTTCGTCTTTGATCACTTGCTTAGCGAATTCGGTCGACATCTGATCTTTCTGCCATTGAAGATGCTGCCTAAAAGCCTCCTTTTCTGAGGGTCTATGCGATGCGGGTGCTACTACTTCGTCCTTGGCATAGAGGCTGCTGAAACTCTTGATCGTGGCCAATGTCATCCTGCCGTATCTGCCTGATTTATAAGGTGGTATATGACGCACCTTAAGACATTCGGGCTTTGGCATGCGATCTTCATAGCTGGCCCTCAAGGTCTTCAGGGATTGGTAGAGGCTTTTCAGATGCTCCTCATTGCAAAAGCGATATTCAATCTCAGAAAGACGCGGCTTGGGCTGTGACCATTGCTTTAGTTTGGCGAACGGACACTCGACTATTTTGAGATTTATTTGTTTCTCCAGTTCGTCGATTCTCATGTTGAAAGCACGGGTTGCAGTGGTCGAAGAGAAATTGCGGCGAGCGGGATCCACCCCGTATCTTATGGATGGGGCGTAAAATTCGGAGCAGGGGGATCCCAGCGAAAACATGGGTGTTTGTTTCTCCCACCTTATGGACGTTTTGGCCAGATGCTTGCTTATGCGGCGCATGCCACGCTGGTACTCGATCTCATTCTTACGCAATGCCGCCCTGCGACGTTTCTCGATCAGTTCGCATCCACGTTCCAATCGCGTCTTGGAGGCAGCGTGCATTTCCCTCTCCCTCTTGTCAAACATCTTGATCACGATTTCCAGTCGCATCATCTGGCACTCTTGGATTTGTTCCTCCCGCTCCAACCAGTGCTCCCATTCAAAGGCCTCCACCAGCGTTTTGTACTGATTTATCGCGAGTTTACGGCTATTTAGCCGTTGGTTGTTAAAATTTAACTTTAAGGCCTCCATGAAGTTTCGACGCTTACGAGAGCGCTCCAAAACTTCCACCTCAAATAGACCTGGTGGCTTATCTCCATGAAGAATTGAGGGCAGAGTAAAAAGTTCGAGAGTACGGTCCTCATCGATGTCATAGCTTTCTGGTAAATAGGCCAAAGTCTGCGCGGAAGACTCTCTATATAGGGTCTGAGTGATTTGGTCTTTGAAGGGAGACGGGTCCGCATATTTTGGAAAAAAGTCACACTTATTCTTCAACTCCTTTCGTATGGGCTTCGTGGGTTTTAAAATGACTTCTTGGTTGCTTACATTTTCGTTTCGCCCCCTAAGAAAAAATACACCCGGAGCATTGAACCGGCATTCTTCATCGTCCCGAGGCTGCTTTCCTGTTCGTCGAACGACGGGATTATTCTCTCCTAGGAAAGAAAGAGCTTGAAGCTTTAAAAAATAGGTTGACTTATATTATATTAATTTCACTGACCTGCTGCTAATCGCGGGTAAATGGTTGGAGTTGCGATTAAACATGATGTCAGATCCTTCTTCATATATTTTTCCACATTTTTAGGTGGTTTCTTTTGGCTCGCAGTCTTTTTTTTCTCTGGGACAGCTATGGGCTGGGAATCTCGGTTTTCTTGAAGAAATTTAAGTATTCGTTCCTTTCGCTCCTCCTGCAAATTCACTTTTTTCCGGTGCTTGCGCTCTCGCATTTTAAAAGGTAATTTTTTGTAGAAGTGGGTCTTTTAAAATTGATTAATTATTTCAGTTTTTGTACGTGTACGGCCTACTATTTTATATGGTTTTGTTTATAATCACAATGAATGCATTCGAATTAAGCAATTTCTATTCTTCTTTAAATTTTCTATTACACGACTAAGAAAATGTGATTACATTTGAAATTAGGGAAATGTAAATTTCTAATTGCAATTCTGATATTCTTTAAAAATGTTGACATCCTTATGATTAAAATGTTCCGCTTTTCATTAATTAAACCCTGCCCTAAATGGGATAAGGTCATCAATATCAATTAGAGTCATCGAAATGGTCAACATTTCTCCTGCAATCTTCAGAAATCTCCGAGCAAAGAAAGTGGTGGCGGTACTGAGATGTATACAAATGACCTTAAATGGGTTGCTGTCCTTAAAATACCACCCATCACCTCAGCAGGACGTTAATCATTTATTATCCGACATGTCTGTGATTATTTAGCTTTTTGTCTTGGCCCGGCCATATTTCATTTTCTTAGCAGGCTTTAAATTTTTTAAGTCATTGAAGATGTTTCTTGGATCCCTCGACTTTCCTCCGTAGAGAGTGCAACTAATTTTGTGTAATAATTTATGAGCCAAGTTTCCTCGGGGCTTGGGTAGAAGGAAATGTTTTTCGATAAGAAGTGCTTTTGACGATTAAGCGCAACACTCGTGCAAGTTGTGAGGCGTAAATTGTTGTTTTTCAGTCCCAGCTCGAGGGTTTTAAGCATTGAGGGTTCTTTTGTGGGCAATTTAAGGCTATTCTTGTTCGCCGAAAAGTTTTCTTGAAAAGCGAAAAGCGAATTTTTGGGGAAAGCTTAAGAACTTGACCCATTTTGACAGCTTCACAGATTGCCAACTTTTAATTGGCATCAATTTTTATCAACTTTATCCGATACCGCTGCTCAACAATGCAATTGAGGACTCATGTTCGTGCTTAGCAGGCACATTAATTATCGCTCGAAAGCTTAAACTCCGTCCAATTTTATCTCCCCGCCTGCACTTTTCCATTAATTACCTTTGCAAAGCATTTTGCCCATTTATCAGACTCGTTTCCATCTTGGTTTTGGTTCTTGGTAAGGGTATGTATTTTGGAGTTCTTTGCTGCCTGCGTGACCCCATCAAAAATAATGATGCTAATTAGGCAACAGCGTTTTCGACGAACATTTAAACAGATTAGTGCGAGCATTACAATCTTCCCAAGGCAATACCTAGAAAATCAGTGGAACCCATGCCGTTGTTCGATGTATCTACAATGTAGGTATAATATTACTAGACAACAATAAATACTGCATTTTTCTTGTTGTTTCGTATTGTTTGGCAATTCTACCGTTAGTTTAATATAATTTTAAAAAAATGCATTTCAACCAATTTTATATTCAGTAAGTTTTGGCATTAACGTGTTACTTCTATCTTTTCCCTTTTTTGTTGTAATTTGCGACCGTACTATCTTTTTTTCAGGAATATAATATTAATTTTAATTTTCTTACAAAATAATTATATTTTAAAAATTGTCTTTTTTATGTTTATATTTAAAAAATTATATACTATTTTAGGAATTTTATTTTACAATTAAAAAAAATTTGTAATTTTAAGAAAAATTAGCCAAACGAATAAAAAAACAAGAGAGAACGCAATAGTCGGGTTGGTGTCCCGACTATCTAATACCCGTCACTCAGCTAAAGGGAGTGCGAACGCGTGTCGGGTTGGTGTCGCGACTAATAATCGTAACTCAGCTAAAGGGAGTGCGAGGGAGATAGATATATAAATTTTGATTGCGTATAACTTTTTAATGAATGGTCCGATTTAAAAAATGTCTCGATAGGTATAAATATACACAACAGATTGCATTTGCCAAAGAATATGTGTGGGAAATCTCAACCTTCTAGCTTTTGTAGTTTCTGAGATCTCAGCGTTCATACAGACGGACAGACGGACAGACGGACATGGCTAGATCGACTCGGCTAGTGACCCTGATCAAGAATATATATACTTTATGGGGTCGGAAACGCTTCCTTCTAGCTGTTACATACTTTTGCACGAATCTAGTATACCCTTTTACTCTACGAGTAACGGGTATAATAAAACTGCATTTTTACTTATCTGAAATATTGAAATTTTTAAAATCGTATATAAGCGATTGTGGGCGTTAGAGGGGGCGTGGCACCCTTTTAAAATAAACTTGCGCTGCGTAGGAACTCCTATAATCTGCCTGCAAAATGTCAATCTTCTAGCTTTTATAGTTTCCGAGATCTCAGCGTTCATACGGACGGACAGACAGACAGACAGACGGACATGGCTATATCGACTCGGCTAGTGACCTTGAAATGCTTTTACTCTACGAGTAACGGGTATAATAAATCTTTGGAAAACCTAATGTTAAATCCCACCTTGAGGTTATCAGGCAACTCGGAGCGTCCTGCGTAGCCAGGATTCATGGTGATGAACACAGCACAAGTGGGATCCACGGTCAGATTGGTGCCCTCGAACACCAGAGTAGAACTGCCCGAGTTGATGCCCCGCTGGATGGTCAAGATCTGCTGCGCCACCACCGACAGCACCTCCAGGTCGATGCGGTTGAACTCGTCGAAGCAGGACCAAGCGCCACACGAAGCCAATCCCTTGAAGAACTTGCCCAGAGCCAGGTAGTCCAATCCATCCGAGCAATTAAACACCACGCACTGCTTGGCCACGGCCTTGGCCAGATCCTTTATGGTCTCCGTCTTGCCAGTGCCGGCAGGACCCTCTGGAGCACCACCCAAATGCAGATTCAGGGCAGCAAACAGGGTTCGATAGCACCGATCCGTGAGAGGAGTAACCACCAGTCGAGTGGTGTTTCCCAGATACTCATATCCATACGGCAAAGAGCAGTTTATCATCCTCGTGTCCAGATTATTATCCTCCCAATAGTAACGCAACTGGCAAAGCCACTGGAAATCCTGCAAGTCTTCCACTTGATTCGCCACAATTTCCGCCAGGACATCACGGGCATGGACATCCAAGACCACCAGGGCGCCCAAGGTGATGCGATTCTGTGTGTTGAGGTCGCCACGTACCAAGTCCACAATCTTGTTAATCTGCAGGAGGCATTTTTGCAGGTACTTGGCCAGATTCTCCTTGGGCTCCTCGCTCTCGAAGCACTCGGTGATCTCCAGAGTCCAGTATGTGAGTGAAATGGACTGGACGCAGGGGCCCGGCCAGGTGAGCACCCAAACGTGACGCAACATCTTTAGGTAGCTGTAGAAGGCTTCCGCCACCTTGTGGTGCACGCTCTTCTTCATGTCTATCTCCAGCTCCAACAGCCACTTCTCCACTTGACCGACTCGGAAACGCTTCCTTCTAGCTGTTACATACTTTTGCACGAATCTAATATACCCTTTTACTCTACGAGTAACGGGTATAAAAAGAAATGTTGTCTTTTAAGGTTAGGGGAATAAAATAATATTTTATATGTTGAAAAATAGGTTGCATTTTTAATAACAAATTATAAGATAATTATATTCGTACAAAATTTTAAATATATATATCATCTCTAAAAAATTTGTTGGAATACCAATATTGCTATTCAGAAATAATTATAAAATTTGTTTAAAAATCTCTCGCTTGTTGTAAATTAAGCTACTAGAATGCACTTAAAAACAAAATATCATCAAATTTATATCAGCTTTTATTAGTGAGAAAATGAGAAGAAAGCAAGCCCTACCAAAACGTTTCTATTATTTTTGCCACCAGTGTAAATACAGTTTTCTACCGGGCACAAAGTATTTTATCTTCCAGTGGCGTAGTCACGATTTGGTTATGGAGGGTTTTCTGAAACCAATATTGTGTATCGTACTTGTAACAAACTATTTTGCTTAAAATTCTACCTGAAAATGGTTATTTAGCCCTTAAAACTGACCCCTCCGCTTGCCAACGCCCATGGCGACATGTACATCCGTATATACATATATACACTGTATACTTTACATACATATCTGCATACCTACTTTAACGACCAGTTTGACGTCACTTCTATTTTCGTTTTTCGTTCTCGTTGTTGTGCGCTAACTATGTGTATACCACACAAATGGTTGAATTTACCAACACAACCGGCGGACCGGTTAGTCATCGTTTGGCGTTGGTGAGAGCAGCATGTCTGACGTTCAACTCAAAGAGTTACTAGAAAGTTGGGGCTTCGGCCACTTGTTTCAATACTTTACTGGTGAGAAAATAGAAGTAATATATATAAATAGTACCGTTTATATTGACAATGATTATCAAAAGATATTTGATAATGATTGTCTACTTGCACTGCAGTTCCTCAATTTACCAGTGCCTCAAATTCGTCCCGCAGTCGTCTACGACTGGGAGAGACGACTGCGAGACAAAACTCTAACCAAAGAGAATACGACCAACCCTCTCTCTCTCTCTCTCTCTCGATCTCTCTCCTTTAAAATTAACTTGATAAAAACACTGCGACGATGATTATACCCTTTACTCGTAGAGTTTCCGACCCTATAAAGTATATATATTCTTGATCAGAATAGACGTTATTTTTTGTTTTTAGAGTTGGATATCTAAGTAACGGGTACCTATTAGTCGAGGCACTTGATTTCTTTGGTTGTAAAATAAGGGATCAACTATTTAAATTAGTTTTAACATTTTTATAATTAACTAACTATTTTGTATCTTTATACAGCTGAAGAAATTACCCTTAAAAGACTTCATTATATAACGGAAGACGACCTCACATACATATTCCGTAATTCAAAATTAGGCGAAAAAATCGAATTTCGATTTCATTTAACGGAGTGGAAAGCCAAATTTGTAAGTTAATTATACCCGTTACTCGTAGAGTAAAAGGGTATATTGTATTCGTGCAAAAGTATGTAACAGGTAGAAGGAAGCGTTTCCGACCCCATAAAGTATATATATTCTTGATCAGGATCACTAGCCGAGTCGATCTAGCCATGTCCGTCTGTCCGTCTGTCCGTCTGTCTGTCTGTCCGTCTGTCCGTATGAACGCTGAGATCTCGGAAACTATAGAAGCTAGAAGATTGGCATTTTGCATGCAGATTCTAGGAATTCCTACGCAGCGCAAGTTTGTTTCAAAATGGTGCCACGCCCCCTCTAACGCCCACCATCGCTTATATACGATTTTAAAAATTTTAATATTTTGGAAAAGTAAAAATGCAGTTTTATTGTGTTTATCAATACCTATCGAAATGTAGAAGAAATTTTTCAAATCGGACCATTCGTTAAAAAGTTATGCGTGATCAACGTTTTCTATCTCTATCTCCATCTCCCTCGCACTCCCTTTACCTGAGTAACGGGTATCTGATAGTCGGGGCATCCGACTATAACGTTCCCTCTTGTTTTTATTTTATAGATGTCAATAGGTATCTCATTTGATTTCGCCCATTTTTAGGGTAATGAAAAACTTCTTACTTCAACACCATCTTTGGGGACCGATGTAGATGCTGAGGATTTTGCCCAGGCACAGTCGAGCACCTCTTCGTCTGCTTCTAAAAATGTGTGGATAAACAACAAAGCCGTTTTGGTAGGTTGTTATATATTTTAACGAAATAAGCTAATCTATAATATTTTAGGACCTTGATCATATTCTAAATGAGCACCCTACTGGCCACTATGTCAAACGATCAGTAAACGATGGCAATTCTTTAAACGATGCAACTAGAAAAATAATAATTGAAGCCATTGTTACATACATAATAAAAAATAAAATAAAGCCGAGCAGATCGGATTTTGAAAAAATATCTAGCGATATAGAAGCCCAATTCAATGACGATAAGGTAAAATTTTTGTTAATAGATTTGTATCTTTTATAAAAAGCTATGTTTTTCAGAAAATCTATTATAACAATGTTGGACCTCGTGCAGCTGGAAGGCTTTATGACAAATATTACAACACGATAAAAAAGTTAAAAAAGTGTGGAGAAGTATTTTATTCATCTACGTCTAAAATTGCTGATAGCCATGAGACGACATTTTCCCATGAAGATGGTAGGCAAAATCTTATGTACATTTAAATAACATTAATCTTATTTATATTTTCTTCCCAGCATGTGAAGCTCGAGAATGGCTGACTGTTAATAACGAACCGTGGTCCGATGTGTTGGAAATGTGGCGAAAGTGCTACACATTGCGAAGAGAAGATATTCTCAACGCAGATGGTCAAGACCCTGCAATATTCTACGTTTTGAACCAGTGGATGCAGTTTTCTAATTTCATGGGATACAGCTTGGTAAGACAATTATACAGAAACTGGCTTAATTTGTTAATTCTTTAAAAATTAATTAGGTTGAGATTGACTTCAAGTTTCTCTATCCGGAATCTACTTCTTTAACCTTTAAGTGGCAGTCGTTTAAGAGCAAAATTATTCCCATCTTAAATTCAAAACTAACGGATACCATTGACATAAATTACTTGGAACAAATTAATTCTCAAGCTGAAGGTTTGTGATTTTTGATAGTTTTAAATTAATACTAAAACCAATTTCGTCCGTAGGTTCCGATCAACTTCTTGCGCTTTTACTACATGTCTTGCTTCGATCACTGGGAAAACGCAAAGTTAAGGATAAAACTATCACTAAATCAATTAAAGACTCGCAGAATTCATTTATGATTCAATGCGTTACACACAGCGATGTGGAGAGTGAAATTCAGCTATTAAGAACTTCCCTTTTTAACCGCGGAGAGAACCTGCATCCCATTATTGTTGCAGTGGGTTCAGATTTGAGCTGTTCCAAATTGTACGTGCTATTCAATGACATTAAATATGCACTGCCGGGTTTCCTCAGTGTATTTGATTTATGCTTTCAAATGTTTCACGTCTTTCACCTTAAGTATCCTTCTGATAGCTTTGAGTTTTGGATGTTTGTACAAAAATATTTCTACGGAATTAATTTAGAGGAAGACTTGGTAGCTCCCAGTATATTATGTTTGATTAGTGACTTACGATAACAACAAAATATGGAAATTGAGAAAAACAATTAAAAAATATTGTTGATGTGGTTTTTTTTTAAATAAAAAAAATATTTTCTGAGAAGAAAATCAACGTTATTTGTATCTTATTGTTTTGCAGAAAAGCAATGGAATATTAACATGACTTTACACAATTTTTATAAGCATCAGCTTGTTTCTAATGCTTTTTTTAAGTTCATTAAAATCTTAAAGAAAACCGTTAGACTTTAGCTAATTAAAATTACTTCTTTGCTTGATTTTCCCATTTTTCTGTTGCTTCCGGTAAGAAGGGAGCTTTTCTATTTTCATTTTCTAAATAATGCGTACTTATGAGTAAACAATGAAATTATATTTATTTTTGCTCTGTCAATATTTGCATGCAATTAATTTTCCCATCCTCGGCGGGGACGCCAGCCAGCATAAACCATGACGAGCAGTGAAAAATCAAAACCAAACGAAGCATGGAGCGAGGGCAAAGTGCCGTAACGTGTGCAGAGAGCCGCCCTTTCCCGGAATCCCCGAAGATCCACACCCACTCCCACAATATCCTAGCTCCCGGGTCTGCCGCAATTTACTTTAAAAGTATTGCTAACGAAGGAATCGAAGACGAGTGGCTTGCCATCGACTTTGTTTTTTGTTGTGTCTGTTATTTTCGTATCTGACGCTGATGATGGGCGATGATAACGAGATGCTCGGCTAAAGTTTGCCAAGTTTGTGGCATCGCTTCCTTTGGCGCATCCTTTGTGGCCAGGACTCGTTGGCAAGTCGCCGGAAAGTTCGGGCTAATGCCAACCACATTTTGCTTTCCCTTAAAAAAAACTTCGTTTGCATGCTTTCGACTTTTTTAATTAAATCTTCGGGCAGAAGACAAATAGAATTGGCCAAAGTGCGGCTGAATATTGGGAGCATTTTAGGCAGGAACGGAAACCACCACCAGCCGAAAAACTCCGATCCCCTTCCAAAAAATGAAGCCATTAAACTATATACAACTCGTTTCGTTTAATGGCCAGGCCGTTTAAATTTTCAGGGCTCGTCGAGAAACAACAACAAGAAAAAGGGATCTCAGGACTCGCTTGGCTTGACTTTATGTTATCAAAAATATTTCCAGGCACTTAAATTAATTTATAGCTCAACAAACGGCTCTAAAAAAGCTAAATATCATTCTATTACCGTTCGTGTTGAGGCTCTTATCAGTAGCGCGACAAAGGGAGCCCAAAACCAAATCAAATTTACTGCGGCATTTTCGTTCTTAGCGGCGGATAATTGTATGTTTATTAAAGCCGAACCGTACCTATATTGATTGGAATTTTGTTTTACCTTCATTAACTTGTTCTTCTACACCCCTGGTTGTGCCTAAACTAATGTTCTAAGCGCAAAAAATTGTAAATCAATATTTATTGTAATGCCCTCTGCTTGTGTATGCTCTAAGCTTTAGGGGTATTTGGATTTTACTTTATAGATTGGACATAAAATACAGAACTTTATTGGTAAATATTAATGTCGGAATGAATGAATTAATGATAACAAATCAATAAGTTCATATAATGTAATGTCCCACAATTATGAAGATTTCGCATCTTAACATAATTATTTTATTTTTAAAAATAAAAAAAAGTAAGTATTAAAAGTAAGTAACAATTATTAAATAGCTACACAGAAATAAAATCGATATGAAATAGGGTAATTTTTATCTTATTTCATATCATTAAAATGCCGATATGATTAATGTCAAATTTATGATTCAAACATTTCAACTTGATATTTTATTAATTTAATTAAATTGAATTTAAATTAAATTTTTTAATCCAATATTGTAAAGTAAGATAAAAATAATCTTTATTCATAAGTTATAAATAGGGGAGAGTGGGGGAATTTCGTCAGCATTTTTTCAAAGCTATTTTTTGTCCATCTTGAGACACGTTATCATATTTCTATTTTTATTGTTGAATGCGGTTAGCACCAAGCTTTAAAATGTGACATTCCCCTATTTTTTAATTAGCTTGGTGATTTATAAAAAAATAAAATGTAAAACCAATATACTGGGGCAATCTCACCACACAGGGGGGTAAAATCACCACACAACTGGGGAAATTTCGTCACCTGAAAAATGTAGGGAGTTTAACGCCTGAAAATATGCTACACTGATCAAGCGTACCATTTTTGTTGACGTCCTATATTTGTTGCTGCTGCTGGTAGTCTGTTCGTTAGCCAGCTCGTCAAATATAAAAATATGTATTTAAAATAGGTGCGAATTTACCCTTAGCGTAGGGTGGCGAAATTTCCCCAGACCGTACTTTTTTAGAAATAATTATTTTTCTTGCGAAATTAGGCGCGCAGTTAAAAATCACTGACGCAGAAATGCACATTATAGCACTGTGTATTATATAAAAAATCGTGTATCTTATTCCTTTTGAATTGTGGCATACAGAAAAAATTTCGTCGAGAACTAAATGTAGCTTTTGAACTGTTGAAACACATTTAATATTATAGCTTAATTATCTTGGCCTTCTGTGCAAAACAAATGCATTGGTTGTGTCTGGCCGTCTTGAGGGACTAAAACAAAAAAATTATTTATTTTTACGACTTATGGATTCCGAGATATTGCAGGTGACGAAATTGCCCCTGTGACGAAATTCCCCCACTCTCCCCTAATAACAAAATGACATGAAGATCAAATATCTTTAAAAAATATTAAATTAACCTATGGTATTTTCTTTCAATTTTTTTTTTCTGTGTAGCTTTCAGAATATACCAAATGCTTTCCAATCTGAAAGATTTATTTTAAAGTGGTAGAGCGGATTTCATTTTAGGGTAAAGAAACTTCTACCAATCTCAGCCTAACTTTTAGAAATTCCCTTATGCTGTGGTTTTTTGGTATGTTGTTGGCTTTTGTGCTGTTTTGCCCTTCGCGCTTGTGTCGTAAAATTTATGACACGAAATGTTTTGGCATTACTTTCGGACGGTTTATCTGCGGCCATGTAGCACACGGTAAGGTAGGCGTCTCGTTAGGCGTGGCATCTGGTGGTGCCAGCCCTTTCCTTGCTTTTTATTCTCGATATGGGACAGGCATAAAAAACAGCGACCATATTTATTTATATATGTATTTGAAATTTTTTAGATTTATGCACAGAAATTTGCATTTTTTTATGCTCTTGCTGCTTTTGTGAATTGTTTTGGGCATGGAAGGGATTTGGATTTTAGATTTTCGTCGGCCATCGTCGGTGTGCCATTTATCAACTACTTCGCTTCGCAGGCAACTTTTTGGGGCCAAACATAAAATTGCACTTATGCAGCAGTAGCGGAGCAACCAATCTAACCATAACCTACCAGCCATAACCAAAGCCCAGCCAAGTGCATGTGGGTTTTCTCTCCCTAATCCCAGTCCTTATTCGCCCTTTTACAGAAAAACTATTCTCGTATTCGGAGCGCACATCTTGAGTTGGTTGGCTGGATGGTTGGTTGCTTGGATGGTTGGTTGGTTGGTTGGGTATTTGTGTGTTTTTCGGCCGGCGAGAGTAGTTGGCGGCTACATCCCTCCCCGATGGCTGGAAACCGCATAAATTGCTTTAGCACCAAAGGGATTTGTGTCAAAATCAGACCAAAACAGCCAGCTCAAAGACAAGAAGCCTTCACTCCGCTTATCCGGAGTGCTGTCTATAAAAGGGAAAAAGATCTATGGATTTATGATGAAGCAGCTATTCCCTTCTTAAGGTTTTATGGCGTTCATGTTAAGGGGAATACCCGGGAGATAAGAAATTTATAATTATACAACATAGTTTTTTTTGTGACAAACATTTCGATAAAAGATTAATACGATTTTGTGAAAAATTGAAGAAAAATGTATTCAATTTAAACCATTTCATTATGCAAGCAGAAGATAAATAGATTTTTTGTTTAATAACATGAAAAACTATATGGTGTAAAAAGCCAAAAACAAATTATTCGTTTCATTATTTGGCTGAAAGACATTTCTTAATCACAACGGTATGTGTATAAGAATGCGTAGCGAATATTTTTTCAGTTTACTTAACCTTTAAGCAAACCTGCAATAAGAACACATATATTCTCCTTATTGTGCCAACTCACCCAAGTTCATTAGAAATGTATGAGACTCTTGCTAATGGCATCGCCAAAAAAGGGAATACATGCCAAAGTTGTGCCTTAATTTTAAGCATTTTCTGTTGCTACTCCAGCCAGAAAGTTTTTCCATTTCAATGGGCGAACTCCACCCATCACACACATATGTGCGAATATCTCGGATGTTCATATATGCCCACATACGTATATATATATAAGGTTTTCGTGGGTGTATACGCCCTAGCAAATCAGCTTACAACTTAAATTGAGGCACTTTCGTTTAGCTTCACTTTGCATGGTCGCTCCATCGCTGAATATCCTTGAATCCTTGAGTGGTTCGGAGGCCTTTGGAAAAGGCAGCAGGATGTGGAGTTGAAAGGAAGCAAACAAACCGCCGGTGGCACAATTTAGTTCCTCAGGGAAATGCTAAAGTTTTCCCTCTTGTTGTTGCATTTTTTTTGGGGAGAGAACTTTTCACTTGCTCTATTTACCAGGATATTCCTTCCGCCCCTTCCTACGCCCTCTACATGTGTGTATAAGTATTAGAAATAAATCAAGGGATTTTTGGGATTTCGGTTTTTTGCTTCGCTTCGTTTCGTTCATTGCTTTCCGTTTGCTCCATCCAGCCGCTTTCCATCGCATTTCCGACAAGTGTGTATGTGACTCAGGTTTTTCCCAGCGGGGTATTAGTTTGGAAAATTGTTTAGGCCACCGCAGGCCCGAGCAACAACTTGCTGTGGTTTTTCCTGGTCAGAGCTGTTACCCAAATACAATGCAATTAAGGGCGCTTTTCTTTTGTATATCAAAAAAGTTTTATTTACTCAACAATTAGATGAAAGCAGGCTTCACAGTTGATTGCTGTTTCATTTTTAAGATTTGCAAAAGTATTGGTAAAAAGAGGGAAATACTAGTTTTTCATAACATACATAAAATGGTCCGATTTGAAAGATATACACTCATCTCACTTCCGATGAATATACAAAA